CCTTCATCAGAAACGTCAGCCTTCCTGCTCCTATGATGCTGCTTGGCCTGCTGTGTTCATCCAGCTCTACACCTTGTAATCACAAGGGCCACGCCACTGCCCCAGCCTGAGTTCCTGATTGGCCCCAGCGTTTTCCGTTTTGTCTATTGGAGCTCGAGTCTCAGGTACCTGTGTCCCGGCCCATGTTCACGGAACACCCCAGGACAGGGATCGGCAACTTTACTTTCCCCAGAACAGGGATCAATATCTTTATTGAACCCAAGGCAGGGATCAGCATCTTTTCCTGTCCGCAGCCCAGGTACTGGTATCTTTCCTACCCCCACGACAGGACAGTTAGTTTTATTTACCCCAGAACAGGACTGAGCACTTTTTGCTCTCCCCAGAAAAGGGATAATCCCTTTTACTTATCAAAGGACGGGGACAATGTGCAAAATTGGACTCAGGATGCAAGTATCTCTTTAAAATTGCTCCCATGGAGCATCTGACAATGTCGAATGGGGCAGCTTTCACTGATGTCTCACTCAGTTGGACAGCAAAGTCTGAGTATTCTGATACACAGTGAGCTGAAATCAAGATTCTGCAGATGTGGAAACCCAGTCTCAAAACAGAACATGTTGGAACTACTCAGCAGGCTTGACAGATTTGGAGGGAAATTGGGTGAAAAATTCAAATTGCTACCCTTTTATCTGAACTAGATGATGTTGGGGATTCATTATTTTAAAAACTAGCACCACAGTTTCAGTGGTGAGGCCTCCCCTGGTGTACAGTGAGCAGTTTCAGTGCTGAGGGTTATCCGCAGTACAGTGAGCTGTTTCAATGGTGAGGGTTATCCGCAGTACATTGAGCTGTTTCAATGGTGAGGTTTTCCATGGAGTACAGTGAGCTGTTTCAATGGTGAGGTTTTCCATGGAGTACAGTGAGCAGTTTCAGTGGTGAGGTCTCCCCCCTGAGTAGTGAGCAATTTCAGTGGTGAGGTCTCACTTGGAGTACAGTGAGCAGTTTCAGTGGTGAGGTTACCCCCCAGAGTAAAGTGAACAGTTTCAGTAGTGAGGTGTCCCCTGGAGTACAATGAGTGGTTTCCGTGGTGAGGTCTCTCCCAGGAAACAGTGAACAGTTTCCAATGACTTACTTAAACTTGGATTAAGATGTTCTAGACGGTGTGGCACAAATGTTCTCCAGACTAGGATTTTTGAGGACGTGAAATTAAATAAATTGGGCCAATGTCACGATACACCACAGTGCGACTGGACCACATGGCCACTCTTTCATTCGAATGGTGGTAAACTGGGGGGTCAGGCAAATAGAGAAGTTGAGAAGGAGAGTTCTTCATGGTAACATCAGCTAGTGTAGAAATTGAAATTACACTATTTGTACCATTCCACATCACAAACCAGTCATCCAGCCAACTGAGCTACCCAACCCCAACTTGTAAAAGTTATTAACCTGTTATAGGAAGGATATTATTAAGCTTGAGAGGATTCAGAAGAGATTTACCATGTTCATTCTGGGAATGGAAGGTTTGATTTATAATGAGAGGCTGGATTGGCTGGAGCATAGGAGGTTGAGCGGTGACCTTATAGAAGTTTGGAAAATCATGAGGGTATAGATAAGGTTAAATCTAAGTATCTTTTACCGAGGGTGGGAGATTTCAAAACTAGGGGGCACATGTTGGACAGGAGAAACAATATTTTTACACATAGTAGTTTGTGTGTGGAATGAATTTCCAGAAGAACTGGTGGATGCAGATACAGTTACAATGTTTGAAAGACATTTGGATAAGTACATGAACAAGAAATGGTAGGTGGGACTATTTTAGATTGGGATAATGGCCAGCATGGACTGTTTGGACCAAAGGGTCTGTTTCTCTGCTGTATAACTCTATGACTCTAGGTCAGTGAGTGATTCACTGTAAATCAGCAGCAACGGCTGCTGAGTATTCATCACAATAGGAAGCAGAGTCTGAGGCGATCAATTGGTGAGATTAGTATAGGAGGAATTCTGTCAGTGTTTGATAGATATAAGCAGCCTGAGATTCCTAACATTCAGAGCTTACACAGCCTTAACTTGAGGCACAGAAGTGACTTTCTCCTGTCAAAATAGAGCTGCCAGACTGAACTGTGATTTGTTTATTGTCCATTTTCATTTCAATGTTGATGCTGAATAGATTTCAATTTAAAAATGATGTATTACAGATATAATGGTCTATTCACACATAATGACAGATATCGTGGTAACGCCATTAATGAACAGGTAAATCTGAGATCAGGATCAAGCTCCAACTGACTTGGAGTGAAAATCTTTCAGTCCTAGATGTGACTAACAGCAGCAAAAACACTGTTAGGGCTGACTTTGATGGTGTCTTAACAGGTAGGATGATTGAGTGAATCCTTTCCCACACACAAAGGAGGTGAATGGCCTCTCCCCAGTGTGAATTTGCTGGTGTACAGTGAAGTCAGATGATCGCCTGAACCCAATTGTATAGTGAGAGCATCTGGTATTCCCAGTGTGAACATGTTCATGAGACATCAGATCCTTAGAGTTTTTACAGCACAATCCCCACAATCTAGAAAGCCAAGAGCAGCTGCTGCATGGGTAAAGCAACACCTCCAAGACTCACAGCAGGGATTTCACACTGGGGAGAGATTTCATCTTCTCTATTATTGATTTGGACACAGATTACCATTCCTTCATCAATGGGAGTTGGATCCACATCCCTTTGACAATGAGAAATTGCTGGGCCTATTTGGGTTCCAATATCCTCAGGGTCATACTGAGCAGCTTGTCCTCCAGCTCAAACTAGCACAACAAAGAGGAACTTGATTACTAGCTAAAGACAATCACTGGGCTCTAAGGAAAAGGGGAGTGGAAGCAACTGCAGTGAGACAGCACATGATGAGGAACACATGGCATGTGTGTCTATGCAAAGCAGATCATCACACTTTGTGGATGGGAAGATCCCTGAGAGGGGTACAGGAGATTTAGCACAATGGTTTGAGGGAATGTGGCACTTTTGTTGCATGGCTAGTTTTGACAAAAGGGTTGATGGGAGTTTTATGGAGGGATGCAAATGACTGATTGGTTTAGAGAACATTAGGAAATAAAATGTTAGTTTTAAATTATCGTAAAAGGGTTAGAGGACAGAGATTTCAAATTTTGGGAAGATCTATAAAGTGGATGAAAGGAAGAAATTTCTTGCAGCAAGCAGTTTCAAACTGGATCTGAATGCTTACAACGAAAGACTGATATATCCAGGTACTGATGAATGATTCTGTCAAATATTACACTGTTGCTTAGTTGGAATTTGCTGACGGAAAATCCTTTGGAATATTCTGTCAAATGATTTTACAAAAGTCCATCCAGCATAAACTTTGAGAAAAGACAAATACTTCTCCGAGTTTGAGTTATGCATAAATCTTTGCCTTCTGAACCCCTGTGAAAGGAGTTACAAAATTCATTGTGTCAGTCCAGAATAGAAATTCACAACAGACCCAGGACAACCATACATGATCCCTGCTGCATATTTCCTCTGGCAGTGGTAGGCAGCGCCTCAATTCCAGGATGTCGTCTGTTGAGGGTCATGAATTTCTGTCCTGTGTCTTCAAGTGACTGCACGGAGCCACAAATCATTGGGCACATTGAGATCATAAGACATAGGAGCAGAAAATAGGTCATTCATCCCATCAAGTCTGCTCCGCCATTCAATCATGGCTCTTAAGTTCATCAAACCCATTCTCCCGCTTTCTGCCCTTAACCCTTGATAATCAAGCACCTCTTAAATGTACTCAATGACCTGGCTTCCACAGCCTTCTGTGGCAATGAATTCCATAGATTCACCACTGTCTGGCTGAAGAAGTTTCTCCTTACCTCCATTCTAAAAGGTCTTCCCTTTACTCTAAGGCTGTGCCCTCGGTCCCAGTCTCTCCTACCAATGGAAGCATCTTACCTACATGCACTCTGTCCAGGCCATTCAGTATTCTGTAAGTTTCAATTAGATCCCCCCTCATCCTTCTAAACTCCAATGAGTATATTCCCAGAGTCCTCAAATGTTCGTCATACGTTAAGCTTCTCATTCCTGGGACCATTCTCGTGAACCTCCTCTGAACACGCTCCAGGGCCAGTACATCCTTCCTGAGATATGGGGCCCGAAACTGCACGCAATACTCCAAGTGTGGCCTGACCAGAGTCTTATATCCCTGCTTTTATATTTAAATCCTCTCAAAATAAATGACAACATTGCATTTGCCTTCCTGACTACTGACTCAACGTGCAAGTTTACCTTGAGAGCAGGACTTCTCATGGAATAGTGGGATCTGAATAACAGGAATTACTTCCTTCTATTGTGTTCTGCCTCGTTAATAAGACATGGGCTGTGAAAGGCTAATGCAGCTTGATGGACATGATGTCTCCATTCTGAACAATAGGCAGTAAACTCCTCCCAATCACTGCCTCCCTACAAAGTTGGCAGTGTATCCTGCTGTCCAGTGCCCCCAAAAAAGATGGTGGATGGTTCCGTTTGGTACAGTCAGTGGGACTGCAAGTTCTTTTTGGGATTTTGAGCCTTACACAATATATTCATGAAGCCTCAGTGTCCTCCATATCACTTTGTGTTATGAAGTAGAAAATGGAGTAATTAGGTGTGGGGTTGGAGGTTAGGGTCAAATAATAATACCAGGAATACTGCTAGTATCTGAGCCAGAGATTGCTCTTCTGTTTTGCATAGTGTACATTCCACACCGTGCAGGCTTGCTGGGTAGGATAGTCACCATTTCAAATGCAAGTTACTGTTTATGTAATCTACATATTTTTCTATAATAGGGATCAAATTGGGTGGGAAAAGGCAAATAATGACATCCAGAAACAAACTATACTCACACTATCTGGACCAGAGAATGCTGCAATAATAATACCTTCTTCTGTGTTGAGAATCTCAGAATTGTTACAGGGCTGAAACAGACCGTTCAGTCTTCAACGTCTGTCAGATCTCCAAATGAGCATTTCACTTAATGCTATTCTCTTTCCTTCTCCCCATAACTGCACATTTTTAATTTCCAAACTTCCCTCCAACATCACATACAGAAAAGTATTTCAGATCCTAACCAATCACCGCCTGAAAATGTTTGTATTGTCCAAATCACTTTTGCTTGTTTTACTAACTTTATAAAGCTGCCCTCGTATGCTTGATTTTTTTTCAAGAGTGAGAAAATGCCCTGCTGATTTTATTTTTCCAAATTCTCGTGATTGGTTTAGTCAGATCTCCTCTTAGCTTTCTTTTCTCCATGGATAACATTCCCAACTTTTTGAAATTCTTTTCATAGATGAATTTTTATTCTTTGCAACATAACTGTCAGAAATCACTTCTCTCCCATGCCTTTAAATCCACCAAAATGAGATGTCAGAACTGTACACAATTTTCCAACTGAGTATGAACCAGTATGCCCCTGATCTTACAGTGTAAGTGCCTATTAAGAGAGCCAAGGATATTGTATGCTTTATTAAATTCCCTCTGGACCTGTCTTGTCACAATGACTGATGCCCATTTATATCTAGGTTGCTCTGGTTTCACACCTTTTATTTTATATTGTTGTTCATGTTCAACATACCAAAATATATTGCCCCACAATTAACCACATTAAACTGCATCTGATTACTGTCAGCAGAATTGAATCCAGTGAAGTGATTGCTGTTTCATCCTGAAAGCAAGAACAAGTTAAGACAAGAGAAATATGCGCTGTAGTGTGAGCGGAAAAGGCAGGGCAGTGAGACTGGTTGAGTTCTGACTACCACAGGCGATGACCCCTTCCCTGCTTTTAGCCCAGTGTCTGTCCAATTCACTTTCGGTGGTGTTGGAGTTCCCACATGGGTGTTCACGTTTAAAAATAGGAAAGGAACCAAAATTGTTGATCTCAGTGTCAGGAGAAACTTGTTCAAAATTAGGTCAATGGACTCATTTCTGGTCACGTGAGTTTATGTTCCCTCCTGTTTCAAAAAACAATTCAGTGAAATAAGAAGGGCTAAAATTTACTGACAGACCAAACAGAAGTGCATAATATTTTCACTGGCAACTCTGCAGACAGATTAACAGTTCATTCAGTCAGCAACAGAATTACTGGGTTTATTAAAGCAGATTTAGTTACTCATTGTCTCCTAGGGTGACAAAGAGCAAGTTGGAAAAGAGGGAGAGTAGCAGCAGAAAAAGAGTGGGGGCAACAACACAGCAGGCAAAGGATAAAAACAGAAAGTACTGGAGGAAGCCAGCACATTTAGCAGCATGTATACAAAGAGAAAAAAAGTTAAAGATTCAATTCCAGGAACCCTTTGTCAGAGGTCTGTTTTCTGTGAATGATGAATGTATTTATTCTCCCATCCCCATCTCTAACCTTGATACTTTATGCTGTTATCCCATAAGCTAAACTCCCTTCTTCTTGCTCCTCATCTGGCACTTTCTCCTGCAAGACTACTCAGAACCTCCTCCTTCTTTATGCTGATTTATTTAATTCTATCACAGACCTTTTCCCTGATTTCTACAGATATTCTCTCTCCCTAGTGAACAGTGACACAAAGTATTCATTTAGAACCCTAACTACAACCTCAGGCTCCACACACAAATTATGGCTGTGGACCCTAAATGGGCCTTACTCTTTCCCTCTTGATCCTTTAACCATCAACATACCTGTAAAACAATTGAGTATTTTCCTTTATTTTAGCTGCCTGTGTTCATTCAGTCCCCCTTCTAGCTCTCCCTCTTTTAAGTTCCCACTTGCACATTTACCTGAAAGTATCTTCTCCCAGCGCACTCTGGCTAAATCCTATCTGATCTTATTAAAATCCACTAGTTTAGAACTTTGATTTCAGGCCCATCCTTGTCCTTTTCCACACAAACATGAATCTAAAAGAGTTATGATAACTGTCTGCAACATACTCCTCACTGACACTTCAACCATTTGCTCAGCTTTGTTACCTAAAGTTAAGTCTGGACCTCCCCCACCCTTGTTGGGACTTCTCCATACTGGTTTAAAAAAAAAAAACTGCCCTTGATGTATTTTTAAAAATTCTCTAAACCTTTCACACTACGATGACCACAGTGGAAGTTGAAAACCTCTGCTATCACAACCCTTTTACTTTTAAACTTTGTGAAATTTTCCTTCTTACCTGCTCTTCTAGTTCTACTCATATGGGTTTATTTAAGGAATTTTCTAAGATGTCATCCCTCTTTATTACTCTAACAGATTCCCTGAACAAAATTGCGGCATCTCCTCCTCTTTTACCACATACACTGACTCATTTGAAGACCATATATCTTGAAATATTGAGCTTCCAACCATTCATCCTCCCATATTTTAATTTGTTTTTCAGACTCGTAGCATTAAACTAAATGCTTTTCACTCTTGACAAATTCCCCTGTACCTTAAGTCGCCTATAATGTTGATACTTTTGAGTTTCATTTGTTTCTTCACATTTTGACTGTTCATCCTACACTTTCAACATTCTCTCTGGATCTCAGCCCCTTGCCAAGTTAATTAACATGCTTCCCCTGCAGCACTCGTAAACCTCTTGATTAGGTTGCTACTCCCATTCCAGTTCAGATGCAACCCCATCTGCCTTGAACAAACCATGAACAAGAATATGAACTTCCTCCCCTTTGCACAAAATTTCAATGGTGCACAACATTTCCACCATTCTGGGCTGTCCCTCACTCTGAATGTACCTTTTCCCAACTGCTCCTGTCAAGTGTACTGACTGGCTCATTTTGACTAACAAATACACTCCATGGGTTCCTCACGCTTGGCGGTGAGGATGGAGGAGTCAGGAGACACACAGAGCCTGTCAAAATAAATGAGTCAGCTTTAGAGATAAGATAAAAACTTGATGCACAGTAGTTTTAACAAAAAGCTGATTTATATCATTTTTCTCCCAAATTGGTAGCCAGACATGTGGTGTGTACAAATATCATAGTGGCTCAGCGGTTAGTAGTTACTGCCTCACTGTGCCAGAGACTGGCGTTCAATTCCAGCCTTGGGTGACTGTGTGTGAAGTTTGCACATTCTCCCCATGTCTGTGTGGGTTTCCTCTGTGTGTTCAGGTTTCCTCCCACAGTCCAAAGGTGTGCAGGTTAGGGTGGATTGACCGTGCTAAATTTCCCATAGTGTCCAGGGACGTGTAGGTCAAATGGATTAGCCATGTGAAATGCAAGGTTACTGGGACTGGGTGTGGGTCTGGGTAGGAAGCTTTTTGGAAGGTGTGTGGACTTGAGGAGCAGAATGGCCCATTTCTACAGTGCATGGATTCTATGATTATCTAATGATCATCAGAAACATGGTTTGGATATAGATAACAGTAGTATCAAAAACTGCTATAGTTACTTAGAAATTCACTGGTGATGAGCCAGGAAATCCCTTTTCAAACACTACTCAGGTGGACAACTTTTATCCAGTGTGAAGGTGTTGATATAGAGTAACAATGTGATTATATAAAAAACCTACCCTACAGATACAGAATTGTTATTAACATTTTATCGACAATATCAGCACCTTTAATTGAGCAGTGATTAATAACATCAGCACCAATGGCCCAAAGACCACAATTTATTCCTTGGTGCGAGTCAGAGCAAAATCCTTCAACTGAAGTTCTTTATGAATTTGCTGGTGTGTTAACAGTTTGGATGATTGAGTAAATCCCTTCCCACACTGAGAACAGGTGAATGGTCTCTCCCCAGTGTGAACACTCTGGTGTCTCAGTAGGTTAGATGAACAAGTGAATCCCTTCCCACACTCGGAGCAGGTGAACGGTCTCTCCCCAGTGTGTACTCGTTGGTGTATTAGCAGGGAGTTTGAATCAGCAAAGCCTTTCTCACACACAGAACAGGTCAATGGTCTCTCCCCAGTGTGAACTCGCTGGTGTTTAAGCAGGTTGGATGAGTGACTGAATCCTTTCCCACAATCAGAGCAGGTGAATGGTCTCTCCCCACTGTGAACTCGCTGGTGTATCAACAGGCTGGATGACTGAGTGAATCCTTTCCCACATTCAGAGCAAGTGAATGGTTTCTCTCCTGTGTGAACTCGCTGGTGTACATGCAGGCTGGATGACTGAGCGAATCCTTTCCCACAATCGTAGCAGGTGAATGGTTTCTCCCCAGTGTGAATTCGCTGGTGTTTAAGCAGGCCAGATGACTGAATGAAGCCTTTTCCACAATTGGAGCAGGTGAATGGTCTCTCCCCAGTGTGAACTCGCTGGTGTTCCAGCAGGTGGGATGACCGAATGAATCCCTTCCCACAATGAGAGCAAGTGAATGGCTTCTCCCCACTGTGACTGTGTTGGTGAGTTTCCAGTTGGGATGGGAATAGAAATCCCTTCCCGCAATCCCCACATTTCCATCGTCTCTCCCTAGTGTCATTGCGCTGGCGTTTGGACATTTCAGATGAACCTTCACAGACTCTTCCACACACACACAATACGTGTTTCACCCCGGTATGAACGGTGCTTTTTCTTCCAACGTCCAAAATCCTAAGATAATTATGTTATAATAAACAGAGTGACTGTCAGATCTGTATGTGGTTTTGTTTCAATACTGCAATTGCAAATCAACCTTTCAAACGGAAAACAAATGCAGTGAATGAGAAACCAGAAGAACACACAGAGATTGTGAAACTGAGAGAAATGAACGTGGAGCCAACACTTGGTGAAATTGCTGGATTATCCATTAAAGCTGAACTCCTTCATAAATGTCCTTCAGGGAAGGGAATGAAGGAGAGTTTGCACAAAACTACATAATGAGGCAGAGACGGGAGAGCCAGGGGCAGGGAATTCTACATTCTACAACTCAATCCTCTTTCTGCTTCTTCCCACCATACCCTTCAATTCCTCCACAGGACTAAGAACAGGTGCAGAAGCAAAATGCTAGAAATCTGAAGCAAAAACCGAAAATGTTGGAGAAGATATGGCAGCATTGGAAACGTTGGTAGATGCAGGAACCATTGTAATCTTGAAGTGTTTAGATGATCATACAAAGCAGTTTAACATAAGTTACACACTGATTGGCCAAAAAGAGGAGCTGACTAAATAGGTGCTTGATGACCAGCACAGATACAATAGGGACATCGTGTTCAACAATTTTATATCAGAGTCTCTGACCCCATACCTGGAGTACTGTGTACACTTTTGTTCAACATTCCCAAGGAAGGATGCCCTGGCTAATGAGAGACTGCAAAGAAGGTTCACAAAATTAATTTCTGGGATGTCAGGACTCATGTATGAAGAGAGACTTGATCCTCATTTAATTCTCATTTATTTTGTCTTTCTGAGCCACTGACTACATCACTAAGTAATGTTTTATCTCCTGTTTCCTGATCTGAAACTGACTATCTAAGCCTACACTTTGGTTCCCATCTCCCTGCCATATTAGTTTAGAACCTCACCAACAAAACTGGCAAAAGCCCCCATGAGGAGATTTGTCCCAGCTCTGCCCAGGGGCAACTGTCAGGCTTGAACAGGTCCCACCTTTCCCAGAAATGGTCTCAATTACTGAAGAATCTAAACCCTTCTCTGATACACCATTTCTCCAGCCGCACATTAATTTGATCTATCCTCTTATTCCTAGCTCTCGCTAGCACATGGCATTGGGAGTAGGTATGGTATTACTACATTTGATGTCCTGCATTTTAATCTATCTGCTATCTTCCAATATTCAGCTTTCAGGTCCTCATCCCTTTGTTTAGCTATGTCATTGGTACCTGTGTGGTCCATGACCACTGGCTGTTCGCACTCCTGCTCCAGAACATCCTGCAGCTGATTCATGACATCCCTAATCCTGGATTCATGTCTGTGACCACAGAAGTGCCTGTCTGTACTCCTTACTATTGAATTCTCTATCACTACAGCCCTGTCGCTCCTTTGCCTTTCATGCTGTACAGCAGAGCTACCCACGATACAATAACGTGTCTGTTGCTGCTTTTCCAAGAGGACAATCCCCCAACAGGATCTAAAGCGGTATATCTGTAGAAGAGGGTAATGACCACTGGGGACTCCTGTACTTCGCTCCTCAGCCTTTTACTTTATCTAACAGTCACCCATTCCCTTTCTCCCTGTGTAATTCTCACCTGCGGTGTGACCAACCCACTAAACGTGCTGCCCACGACATTCTCAGCATCGCGGATGCTCCAGTGATTCCACCCATAGCTCCAGCTCTGAAAGGCAGTTAGCCAGTAGTTGCAGATGGATATATTTCCTGAAACCTGTAGCCGTCAGGAACACTGGAAGCATCCCTTATCTCCCACATTGTGCAAGAGGAGTATACCAGAGGTCAGTGGTCTCATCTCATGGTTTCTGTCTAGATTAATTTAGTTACTCTACTTAAGAGAATTTAATTGAGCTGGGATCTTCCTTTGTTTCAAACATTTCTATTATAATCAAAAGCTCCTAACTTTACAGAAGCTATTATACTTTTAAAAAGCTGAGAAAACACTCTGAAGCTATCACTCACCAATTAGTTGTTTCCATTAGAAACGTCACTTTCTGGACTGCCTGCATTGAGACTGAGCACCACATTCAGTCTTTCAGCTTCACCTTCTCCCTGTCTGACCTAATTCGCTGTTTTCACCCAACTCCAAAGCACTCTCATTTAGCCAAGCAGCAATCACAGTACACCCTCTTCATTTTAATTGTCTGCTCACACCTGCTCTGACTTCAGCTTCCTGCATTGTTCCAGTGATGATCAGTGGGACCTCTGGGAACAGCATCTCATGTTTCAATTCAGCCCTTTATAACCTCCAGACTCAACATGGACTCAACACTTTCAAGGATCAACAGAGAGTTGTCACAATCTGGAATGTTCACCTGAAAGGAACTTCAAAATGAATTTTATAGATATTTGAGAATGAAGGATTTACAAGTTAAAAGTCACTAAGTAGGTGACTGGGACTAAATATGACAGTTCTTTCAAAGAGACAAGGTGTTATTTGGATAAATCTGCACCCCCCTCTCAGGCCATCTTCATCTTCCTCAGCAGAAACTGCTGGAAAAGCTCAGCAGGTTTGGCGGCATGTGTGAAGAAAAACATCAGAGTTAACATTTCGGGTCCGGTCACATTAGCTCTGATTTTTTCTTCAGATGCTGCCAGCCCGACTGAGCTTTTCCAGCAACTTCTGTTTTTATTCCTGACTTACAGCACCCGCAATTCTTTCGGTTTTTATCTTCTTCCTCAGCTGCAGAGCCCAGAAGTGAACACTGATTTGCCCTAAGTGTAGGCTAACCACAAAATTGAACACCTTGCTGTTTCTTAATTTACAAACATATCGAAGATATTTTCCCACAGACAAACCTTTATCCTTCCACAGTTAAATGCCAATGATCCTGCTGACTCTTAGGCAGATTTGAGATCCCGGTCTGCAAAGTATTCTCAATTAATATCCTGTTAAACAAATTTACAAAAAGAACAATTACTGTCAGCGCAGGATAGAAATCTAGAAAAGACAAACATTATCTTGGATTCAGTTTGCTTTGTGTAAATCCCACTCCTTAAATCGCCTCGCTCCCACAGGCAAAAGAGCACATGCGCACTGCTGCACCCTGTCCCTAATAAAGATGGCGGCGGTACACGCGATTTGTCACAGCCTTAGGATGCAGCCGTTTTCCCTTTTGGTTCAAACCCGGGAACTTCTAATTCGGATCTAGCGGCCCACACCAGGTGTTTATACAATCTCCCAGCCCACAATGACTCCATCTTTCTCCTGGTCTCTCACCCACCTCAGCCCCTTCCCCGGCTACTACTTTCGCACTCACAGAGGCACCGGTCACATCAACACTACGCCTGCGTGTTAATGGTCACGTGGGGCCACCCCTCATTCGCTTATTGGTTGGAGGACCAGCGGTTCCGTGTGGTCTACTAACCACGCTCACTCTTCTCCTATTGGTCTGGAGCTGCCATCAATCAGCCGCGTCCCGTTGTGATGTGAGGTGTGGGGCCTGGGATGAGGTTCATCATTCACATTCAAAGGTGCAGTATCTTAGAGGCTATTCGATCTGTTGGGGCTGCACTCTCTACCTCTGGAGATGCTGCAATTGGATATGCTATTCATCCTATCCATGCCCCTCATGATTTTATAAATTTCTGTAAGCTCACCCCTCGGTCTCTGACGCTCCAGGGAAAATAGCCCAAGCGTAGTCAGCTTCTCCCCATAGCTCAAACCCTTCAAATCTGGCAACATCCTTTTAAATCTTTTCTGAATCCTTTCAAGCTTCACAACATCATTCCTATAGCAGGGAGACCAAAACTGAATACAGTATTCCAAAAATGGCCTAAACAATGTCCTGTACAGCTGCAACATGACCTCTAAACTCCTATACTCAATGCACTGACCAATAAAGGCTTCTTCTTCTACCAAAAGCCTTCTTCACCACCTTGTCTAACTCTGACTCCACCGTCAAGGCACTATGAACCTGCACTTCAAGGTCTCTTTATTCGGCAACACTCCCCAGGACCTTAGCATTAAATGTATAAGTCCTGTCCTGATTTGCCCTATCAAAATGTAGCATCTCACATTTATCTAGATTAAACTCTATCTGCCAGTCCTCAGCTCATTAGCCCATTGATCAAGGTCCCATTTTACTCCGAGATAACTTTCACTGTCCACTACACCACCAATTTTGGTGTCATCTGCAAACTTGCCACCTATATTCAATCCAAATCATTTATATAAATGACAAAAACCAGTGGACCCAACACCGATTCTTGCAGCACACCTCTGATCATGAGACTGCAGTATGTAAAGCAACCCTCCACCACCACCCTCTGTCTCCTACCTTCAAGCCACTTTTTGTTTCCAAATGGCTAACTCTGTCTGTATTTCATATTATCTAACCTTGCTAACCTGCAGACGGATATGGATAGATTAAATGAGTGGGCAAGGGTCTGGCAGATAGAGTACAATGTTTAGTAAATGTGAGGTCACCCATTTTGGTAGGAATAACAGCAAAATGGACTATTATTTAAATGGTGAAAAATTACAACATGCTGCTGTGGAGTGACCTGGGTGTCCTTGTATATGAATCACAAAAGGTTAGTTTGCAGGTGCAGCAGGTAATTTTGAAGACAAATGGGATATTTTCATTCAGTCCTGAAGGTATGAAATTTGAAAACAGGAAGGTTATGCTGCAGCTGTATAGGGTGCTGATGAGTCCACACCTGGAGTACTGTGTACAGTTTTGATCTCCTTACTTGAGAAAGAATGGACTGGCACTGGAGGGGGTGCAAAGGAGGTTCACGATGTTGAGAGGGTTGGCTTATGAGAAGAGATCAAGTAGACTGAACCTATACTCATGATAATTTAGAAGGAGGATAGGGGATCTTATAGAAAAATACAAAATTATGAAGGGAATAGATAAGATAGAAGCAGGAAGGTTGTTTCCACTGCTGCGTGAAGCTAGAACTAGGGGGCATAGCCTCAAAATGAGAGGGAACAGATTTAGAACTGAGTTGAGGAGGAATGCCTTCACCCAAAAGGTTGCGAATCTGTGGAATTCCCTGCCCAGTGAAGCAGTTGAGGCTACCCTCTTGAATGTTTTTAAGGCAAAGGTAGATTTTTGAACAGTGGATAAATTAAGGGTTATGGTGAGCAGGTGGGAAAGTGGATCTGAGTCCATGAAAAGATCAGGCATGACCTTATTGACTCACAGAGCAGGCTCGAGGGGCTGGATGGCGTACTCCTGCTCCTATTTCATATGTTCTTATGTTCCCACTTTCCAGCCATTCCTTTACATGCGAATAGTCTCCCCCAATCAAATTTTGGAAGTTCTTGCCTTATACCATCAAAATTTGTTGTCCTCCAATTTAGAACTTTAACTGTTACATCAGGTCTATCCTTTTCCATCACTATTTCAGTGATAGAGTGGATAGTCAGAAACTTTTTCCCAGGCGCGGAAAAATTTTAGGGGGCATAATTTTAAGGTGATTGGAGGAAGGTATGGGGGGGGATGTCAGAGGTAGGTTCTTCACATAGAGAGTGGTGGGTGTGTGGAATGCACTGCCGGCAGTGGTAGTGGAGTCAGATACTTTAGAGACTTTTAAGCGACTCTTGGATAGGCACATGGAAGATAGTAAAACGTAGGGTATGCAGGGTAGATTGACCTTAGTAGCATAATAGGTCGGTACAACATCGTGGGCTGAAGCACCTGTACTGTGCTGTACTGTTCTCTGTTCTATTTTAAACTAATAGAATTATGATCTCTGTTCCCAATGTGCTGTCCCACTGACATCTCAGTTACATGCCCTGCCTTATTTCCCAAGAGACGGTCAAGTTTTGCTTTAGTAGGAACATCCTACATACTGAATAAGAAATTTTTTTTGTCCACACTGAACAAATTCCTTTCCATCCAAGCCCTTAACACTATGACAGTCCCAGACTATGTGTGGAAAGTTAAAATCCCTTATTATTACAATCCTATAATTCTTACAGATAACTGAGATTTCCCTATAAATTTGCTTCTCAATTTCCCACTGACTATTGGGGGGGGGTCCAGAGTACAATCCCTATAAGGTGATCATTCCCTTTCTTGTTTCTCAGTTCCACCGAAATAACTTCAGTCGACTTACTCCAAGGAATATCCTCCCTAGGTACAGCTGTAATGCTATCCCTAACCAAAAACTCTCTCTCCTCTCCTGCCAGCCTTTCCATCTTTCCTATAGCATTTTTATTCTGAAACATTAAGCTGCCAGTCTTGTCCATCCCTGAGTCACATTTCTCTAAAATCCATTAGAAGCTAGCCGCAGATACGTCAGTCTGTGCCTCTGACTACAGAGTCCCCCATCACTATTACAATCGATCACTTGCAACCTGATACACCCCTCGTTATAGTAGAGCCAGTCATGGTACCAGTAACCTGGCTGTCAGTGCTATATTCCCTGACAGTCCATCATCCCCTACATTTTCCAATACAGCATACTTGTTTGAGATGGGTACTGCCACAGGAGACTCCTGCAATTTTTGCCTACCTCTCCTACCTTTCTTGGAGGTAATCCATCTACCTGACTGTATCTGCAGGACCCTACTGTCCTGAAACTGCCATCTATCACACCCTCAGTCCTGTAAATGACCTACTACCCCTAACTGCCACTCCAACCGATCCATGCGATCTGACAGGATTTGCAAGCACACTTCCTGCAGACATAATCATCAGGATCATTGAAAGTCTCCCTAATTGCCCACATCCGACAGGAAGAGCACACCACTCTACGAAAGGCCAACTCTGCACCTTAACAATCTACAGACCCAGAAAAAGACACACTCGTACTGCTCTAAAAACACTACTCTAAAATAACTTAATCCCTATATTTTATAGTTTAAAAAAAATTAATCAAGAGACCGATCTCAATAAGACGTATTAAAAAAGCCCTCACCCTACTCGCTGTTGTAGATTTACAAAGAAAAAGACTAACATATATGTTTTAAAAGACTTAAAACCACTGAGCTGAACCCTGACTGTGGGTAGTTCTGATAATGAGGTCTCTCCAAGGTCAGCTGTGAAATGTCACTGTTGGTTTTTCTTTTGGCCCAACTCCATTTCCAGAGATGTTTGCAACTTCACAGCCAGTCAGCTGGGAGAGTTCACTGCTTAGTGTTTTTTTTTCCCCAAGGGGTATGATCTTTGCCGCCCAGATGTGAACTGCCTTCTTGAAATGCTGCAGTCCATGTGCTGTAAGTATACCACAGTGCTGTTGGTAACCCCCACCAGCCCTCACAACCCTCCCCATCTCTGTAATCCCCCTCCGGCCTCACAACCCTCCCTATCTCAGTAATTACCCCTCTAGTCCTCACAACTCCCTACCTCCGTGACCCCCTCCGGCCCTCAAAACCCTCCCTACCTGTGATTCCCCCTCCAGCCCTCATAGCCCTCCCTACCTCTGTAATCCCCCTCCAGCCTCGGAAATTCCATTTCCGTGGTCATAAGATTTTTATTGATTCATTTTTGCTTGTTTTGTATCAAAAACGCAAAAAAACCCCAAAAAAGTGCGTGATTTTGTTTTTAAACAGGGTTCTGTTAAGGGACCTTTTGGAGAGGCCCACACACGGACAGCTCAGTTTATTTCCTCACATTGTACACGTAGAAGTAGAGATTTTTTAAAAATATTGCTAAAAGGAGTTGACAGCCAAATGGTACTCTCGCTAGACTAGTGATCTGGAGACCTGGATAACGTTCTGCGGACTTGGGTTCGAATTCAGCCATGGCAGAAGGTGGAATTTAAATCCAATAAAATTTGGAATTGAAAGTCTAATGATGACCATGAAACCATTATCAATTGTCAGGAAAACCCATAGAGTTCACTAATCCCCTTTAGGTGGTGAAACTGCCATCCTCACCTGGTCTGGCCTACATGTGACTCCAGGCCCACAGCGATGTGGTTGACTCTCAACTGTGCTATGGGCACTGAATGCTGGTGTGGCCAGTGATGCTCACACCCTCCAAAAGCATTAAAAATATATTTTTTTTAAATTATGAAGGACAGACTTTTTAAAACAAAGTTGTGTTTACAGAGTTTTTCAAATAAGAAAGGAATGATCACCTTGATGGGGTTGTACTGCAGATACTGCAATAGTCAAAGGGAAACTGAGGAACAAATATGAAGAGAGATCTCAGATATATGTCAGAATAACAAAGTTGTAACACGAGGTGATTTAATTTTCCAAACATTGACTGGGACTACCATTGTGTTAAAGGGTTGGAATGGTGAAGAATTTGTTAAATGAGTTAAATTTTCTTTATCAATATGTAAATATTCCTACCAGAGAAGGAGCAAAACCTGACCTTCTTGTGGGTAATAAGACAAGGCAAGTGACTGAAGTGAGAGTGGGGGAACACTTTGGGTCTAGTGATCATAATTCTATCCATTTTAGATTAGTTATAGAAGATGATCAGCCTTCCATAAAAATTCAAGTTTTTAATTCCAGTTAGGCAAATTTAAATGGTATGACACAAGAACTTTGAAAAGTTGATTGGAGTAGACAGTTTACAGATAAAGTGATGTCTGATAAATGGGAGGCTTTCAAAAGTGTGATAACGAGAGTTCAGAGTCATTATGTTCCTGTTAGAGTGAAAGGTCAGGCTGGTAGGATTAGAGAACAATGGATCAATAAAGATATTGAGGTTCTTGTCAAAAATGAAAAATAATCATGTATTAGATGTGGACAACTGGGTTCAATAAATCTCTTGAACGGTATAAAGAGTGTAAAGGCATTCTCGATAGAGAGAATAGGAGGGCACATAGAGGCTTTGCAACAGCCTTGGCAAATAAGGTTAAGGATAAACAAAAGAGATTCTACAAGTACATTAAGAGCAAAACAGCAACTAGAGAGAGTAAGGCCCACTAAAGATCAAAGAGGTCATCTTTGTGTTGATCCTCAGGAGATGGGAGAGATAGTAAATAAATATTTTACATCTTTTGTGAAGAAAGAAACTGAGGCCAGAGAACTCAGGAAAATAAATAATGATGTTTTGAAAACAGTTCACACATTGGGGCTCAGTGGTTAGCAGTGCTGCCTCACAGTGCCAGGGACCTAGGTTTGATTCCACCCTTGGGTGACTGTCTGTGTGGAGTTTGCACATTCTCCATCTGTCTGCGTGGGTTTCCTCCCACAGTCCAAAGATGTGCAAGTTAGGTGGATTGGTTATGCTAAATTGCCCCATAAGGATGTAGGTTAAATGTGTTAGCCAAGGAAAATATTGGGTGGGGGAAGGGTCTGTGCGTGATGCTCTTCGGAGGGTCGGTGTGGACTTTTTGGGCCAAATGTATCCACACTGTAGGGGCTCTATGATTACAGAAGATGTGCTGAAAGTCTTAAAAAACGTAAGAGTGGATAAATGATCTAGTGTATCCCAGGATGTTGTGGGAAGTGAGGGAGGATATTGCGAAGCCCCTTCCAGAACTAGTTGTATAATCAATAACTACAGGCGAGATGACTGGAGAGTGGCTAATGTTGTGCCTTTGTTTAAGAATGGACGCAGGAAGAAGTCTGGGAACTACAGACCTGTGAGTCTGACTTCGGTGGAGGGTAAGTTGTAGGAGGTGATTATTAAAGATAGGATTTATATGTATTTGGAGAGGCGTGGCATGATTAGGGATAGTCAGCATGGCTTTGTGAGAGGATGCTTCACAAACTTGATTGAGTTTTTTTAAAGTAATAGCCAAAAAGATTGATGAGAGCCGAACGATAGACAGTGTTTATTTAGACTTTAGTAACACCTTTGACAAGGTTCCGCGTGGTAGACTAATACGTAATGTTAGATCACATGGGATTCAGGGTGAGCTTGCCAATTGGATAAAAAATTAGCTTAGCAGTAGGAGACAGTGTGTGATGGTGGAGGGTTCTTTTTCAGACTGAAGGCCTGTGACAGCGGTGTTCCACAAGGATTGGTTTATCATTTATATAAATGATTGAGGTGAGCACATACAAGGTATGGTTAGCAAGTTTGCAGGTGACATAAAAATTGGTGTTAACATGGAGAGTAAAAAAGCTTATCTAAGACTGCAAAGAGATCTTGATCAATTGGGTCAATGGGCTGAAGACTGGCAAATGGAGTTTAAGTTGGATAAATGCCAGATGTTATATTTTGGTAAGACAAGGGCAGGATTTATACAATTAAAAGTGGGGCCTTGGGGAGCACTGTAGAACAGAGACACCTAGGGGTTCAGGTCTTTGAAGTTCGCATCACATATAGGTAAGGGTAGGTATGATGATGTTTAGCATGCTTGCATTCCTTGCTCAGACCTTTGAGTATAGGAGTTTGGACATTATGTTAAGGTTGTATGGGACATTGGTGAGGCCTCTTCTGGAGTACTCTGTCCAGTTCTGGTCGCCCTGTTATCGGAAGGATATTAATAAGCTGGAGAGGGTTCAGAAGAAATTTACCAGGATCTTGCTGGGAATGGAGGTTTTGAATTATAGGGAGAGGCTGGATAGGGTGGGACTTTTTCCACTGGAGGATAGGAGGTTTATTAAATTTGAGGTATATAGATAAGGCACATGGCAGGCATCCTTTCCCTAGGGTGGGGGATTTCAAACCTTGGGTGCATATATTTTAAGGTGAGAGGAGAAAGATTTAAAAAATCCTCCCTGTCACTGTCATCTCATCCAGCCTCCCAACTCTCCTATCTCTATAATTCCCCTGCAGCCTCACAAACCTCCCTAACTCTGTAATCTCCTTCAGTCTCAGAACCCTCACTATCTCTGGTATCACAAACATCTGTCTCTGTAACATCCTCCAATCTCACAATCTTCCCTATCTCAATACTTTCCTCCAGCCTTATAAACCTCCTTATCTCTAATCTCGTCCAGCCTCTCAAATCTCTGTGATTTGTGCTTTTCTCTAATTCCACCCTTATGAGGATACCCCATTTTTATTTCTCCACTTGATGCTAGCACTTTCAGATTCCTGGGCCCCGAGGTCCAGAATTTCCTCCTAAATTGCTCTGCCTCTCAACCTCACGTTCCTCCTGAGTAAAAGTTGACCAATCACGAGTCATCTATTTTAATATCTCTTTTTCTGACCTGGTTTCAAATGTAGCTTGTTATATTCCTATATGTAGTGTCTCTGACATCAACAGTACAGAAAAAGACTCTGTGGCAATCAGGTCTGTGCCTGCAAAGAAAACTACCTAACTGTTTTAATCCCATTTTCCAACACTTAGCCCGTAGACCTGTTACAATTATTGAGATTCCCATCTGGAAGTTTATTTGTAGTAGCCTGTAACACAAGTTCACGAAATCCATCATTGTCAGTCCAGGGTAGAAATTCACAACATCCCCTCCTCCTGGCACAGGATGACCATGCATTGTCACTGCTGCACAGGATGACCATGCATTGTCACTGCTGCACAGTATTCTGTGTCAGGGTCAGCAGTCAATTCAGGGGGAAATCTACGTGGGTTTCCATGAGTTTCCACCTTGGGACTTCAGTGACTGAACAGACCAGTGATCTTTGACACATGGGACAGAATTTTCCAAGAGTTAGTGAGATGCAAAGAGCAGGATTTGCTTCCTTTACTTTCTTCAGTGCTGCTGCTTATCGATTAGACATTTGGGGTGAAAGGTGAATGCAGCTTGATGGACAAGTTGTCTCCACTCTGAACAATGGGCTGCAAGCTTCTCCCAGACTTTCCAAAAATACTCCCTAAAAAGATGGTGATTGAGCATATGTACTGCTGCCCAGTGCTCCCAAAAAAGAGTTTCAAAGAATGAGGGAGGGTCTCTTAGAAAAGTCACAACAGTCAAGTTCTGAGAGGTTTACTAACAGTTTACAGAGAGATATTGAAAGGATAAGTGGGCAACAAGTTGGCAAATGGGGTACAATGTGGGAAAATGTGAAGTTGTTCATTTTGGAAGAGACAATAAAAGAACAGAGTACTATTTAAATGGTGAAAACTGTAAAAAGCTGCACCAGAAAGGGCTTTGGTGGTAATTGTGCAGGAAACACAGACAGATAGACAGAGCAAGTAACAATTTCAGTGAATTGGTTTGGGAGGTGACGAGGAGGAGGAGGAGAAAAGAGAGAGAGTTGGAATGTCTGCAATTTAGCGAGAATAGGGTAAAGGGTCAAGATGAGCTCTGATAACGCATGACAAGAGACTGGAGAAAGATGTAAGTTTAGGACTAAAATGAGGAGCAACATGCAAGGCAGATTGGCTTGGTGGGCTGGAAGGGAGGGAAGCAGCAGAGGCAGCTGATAGGATTGGCTCACTCTTAGTGACAAAGAAACTCAATGTGCTCCTCATACGCGTTATTGAAGGGGAGGATGGAGGAAACAAGATGATGGACAATGTTTTGCAAAGAAACAAAACTTGTGTTATTGATATTTAAAAATGAGTGAACAAAGCTAATTTATTTAACTTTTATCCAGAATACCAAAATGTACACCTGAAGACCAGGTTCGAATCCCACCTCGGCAGATGATGGAATTTGAACCCAATAAAAAAAACTTGAAATTAAGAATCTGATTTCCATGGAACCAGTGCCAATGTCAGGAAAAAAAAATCTAATGTCCTTCAGGGAAAGGAATCTGCCAACCTGACAATGGCCCAGCAGCCTCTCAGTTGTATTAATCACTGAAGTCTCAACAAAGGCATGAAACTGGATGGGCCACCTAGCATCTACCAAGGTACTAGAAAATACAAACACAGAATCAGCCCTATCGACCCTGCAAAATCTTCCTGACTAACATCTGGGGGCTAGTGCCAAAACTTGAATAAGTGTCTTACAGATCAGTCAAGCAACTGCCTGATGTAGTCATACTTACAGAATCATACAGTCAATGACCCAGACACCACCACCACCACCACCATCCTTGGATATTTCCTGTCCCGCCAGCAGGACAGACTGGGCAGAGGTGGCTGCGCAGTGTTGTACAGACAGGAAAGATTTGCCCTGGGAGTACTCAACGTTGACTCTGGATGCCAGGAGGTCTCATGGCTCCTGCTGATTATCATGTACCGTCCTCCCTTGACTTTTGAATCACTACTTCTCCATGTTGAACAACATTTGGAGGAAACACGGAGGGTGTAAATGGTGCCAAACTTACTCTGGGTATAGGATTTCAATGTCCACCATCAAGAGTAACTCAGCACTACTGATCAAGCTGGTCAGGTCCTCAAGGATATAGATGATGACTGGGTCTACAGGTTGTAGTGAGGGTAACAAGAGGAAAAGATATCCCTTGTGTTGAATGACACTATAACTGTGCTAAATGGGACAGACTTCAAACAGATGTAGAATACAAAACTGGACATTGATGAGCCATCAACAGCAGAACTGTACTCCAGCATGATCTGAAATCTCATGGCCTGGCATATCCCGCACTCAAGCATTACCATCAAGCCAGGGGATCAATCGTGGTTCAATGCAGAGTGCAGGATGGCATGCCAGAAGCAGCACCAGGCATACCTAAAAATAAGGTGCCAAACTGGTGAAGCTACTAAAAAGGTCTAGCAACATGCCATCAGCATAAACAGCAAGAGACAAAGCTAAGCGATCTCACAATCAATGGATTAGACATAATCCCTGTAGTTCTGCCACATCCAGTCGTGAAAAGTAACAGACAATTTAAAAAAATTTAATCATTTGTGGGATGTGGGCATCGCTAGCTGGCCAGCATTTATTGCCTGTCCCTAGTTAAACTACTCCCTGGAAGAGGCACCAGAAAAATTATCACCCTTACTGATGGAGGAGCCCAACACATCCATGCAAAAGATAAGATTACAGCACTTGCAGCAATTTTAAGCCAGAAGTGCCCAGTGGATGATCCATCTTGGCCTTTTCCAGTGGTCACCAGCTTCACAGTTGAAAGTTTTCAGCCAATTTGATTCATTTCACGTAACATCAAGAAATGGACAAACAGTGCAAAGGCTATGGACCCTGCCAACACTCTGACAACAGTAATGAGGATTTGTGCGCCAGAACTTACCGCCTACCAAGCCAAGCTGCTTCAGTAACACTACAGCTGTGGCATCTACTGAAAATGTGGAACATTGCCCAGGTATGTTCAGCACAAAAACAGACAGCAAATACAACCTGGCCAATTTCCCCTCCATCAGTCTACTTTTGATTATCAGTAGAGCGTTGAAAGGTGTCATCAACAGTGCAATCAAGCAGCACCTGCGTGGCAATGCCCCGTTTGAGTTCGGCAAAGACCACTCAACTCCTGACCTTGTTGCATACTTGATTCACAACTTGATGAACAGCTGAATTCCAGAAATTAGGTGAGAGTGACATCCCAGTCTCACACCAAGGACACCTGTTTCTACTTCAGTGACATCACCCAACTCCACCCTAGTCTCGGCTCATTTGCTGAAACTTTCATCCATTCCTGTGTTACCTCTAGACTTCACTATCCAAACAGACTCCCAGCCAGCCTCCAGGTAATCTCAAAGCTATCTAAAATTTTGCTGCCCACATGTTCACTTGTACTAAAACTTGTTCACCCATCAATAGACTCTTATTTATAAACAACATTTTAAAATTTGCACGCTTGATTTAATTCCTATCTGTGATCATCCCTATCTCCCTGCACCACACGACCTTTGAGATGTCAATAGCAGATTTTATTTCAGACTCCAGCAATGCATTTATTCATTGCTTCACCATTAGTTGCTGTTTCTACAGTTGCCAAGGCAATATGGTCTGGAATTCCCACTCTAAACCTCTCAGGTCTGCTTTCCTCCTTTAAGACATTCCTGAAAACCTGCTTATTTGGCAATGCTTTTGGTCCCCTGACCTAATGTCAAAAGTTCCTTGATGATAATTTTGTGAAATTATAGACATGACAAAAATATATGTATCATCAACTGTTCGCTATCGCTGGGTTACTGATCTGTAACTTCTTACCTAACCGCATTATGGAAGTACCATCACCAACACAAACTACAGCAGTACAAGAAAGTCATACATCACCTTATCCACAGGCATCAGGGGTTTTGGCAATGATCACTGGTATCTATGGAAGGAGAAACACAGTTTATGTTTCAGGGAGTGCAATGTGAATTACAGGAAATGAAAATGGTGCAGAATTTGATGGTCAGAAATAGAAGGGAAATGGACTCTTGCTGGAAAAATAATTTCTGACTGTAAAAGATATTGTGGAAAAATGAATCCGGTAAGAGAGCAACACAAGGTCTGTGAAAGTAACAGTAAAATACTAAACAGACGTAAAATATACCCATTATTAGAGACTGAGGAAGTTAGATATTGACAAAAAGGTGATCAGGGGAAGGACATTCAGAAAAAACAAACATTTCTCTTAATTTGAATTTGTTCTGTGTAAATTCTCCCTATCACTGTCTGCCAGGGAAGGCTGAACATGCGTCCTGCTACAGCTTGCCCCCTACAAAGGTGGCGGCCGTGCATGTGTCCTGCGGATCATTACCCCTTATAAACATGGTGGCGGTCACTCGGACCTATCGCCATCTGAGGCGTTCTCCCATTTGCTGCAAACACAGGACTGGGAGTTTCAAATTTCTGTTTTTCGACGTGCACCAATCGTTTGTAAAGCCTCTCAAACCATACTAACACCATTCTTCCCCCCCGCCGCCCCCTTTCTGCTGTTCATTTCTTTACCTTGTCCTGCACCTTCCGCAGACGCCCAAGTCTTGATCATTAGCAATACTGCGCGCGGGAACGATCACGTGGTTTACACAAGTCCTGCCCCTTGTTCAATCCGATTGGTTGGAAGACCAGCCGCCGCCGTCCTGTCCTTGAGCCCCGCCCCCTGTCCTCCTAATGGTCCCGCGCTGACATCAATCACCAGAGCCTCAGTGCGAGCTGGAGCACGCGCAGTGCTTCCTGTTGTCATTATTAGAAGCTAACATCGATTTTCATCAGAATCTTGTATTTGCAGTAGATAAACGAAACTTAGAAACTAAATGAAAAGATGCCAAGTTAGAGATCGTGAGATTTTAAGTCGTGTTTGGAAAGGCTTCCCGCAGCTAAAAGCTAAACATAGCTCTTGCCACTGCTCTGTCAGCGAATAAAGAAATGTTGGGGAAATAAATGTCATAAACATAGCAGTCCTGAGATAAGAGGAAAACAGAATAATGATGAATATTCAGAACATCATGCGGTTAAATGAGGTGCGTGTTGTTCATAGGAACTGTGACTGGTTAGAAGACGAGGTTAATCAGAGAAGAACAAGGATAAAAGAGATTCTCAAGAAACATCTGTGCAACGGAGAGCAACCAGAATCAGAAGATAAATGCCCGAGAGAGGAAAAAGCTTGAAAACCGAGGCTGCAAAAGATACGGGAAGTACTTTCAGTACTCTACAATCTAGTAATTGATATGAACAGCATAACCCACATTGAACTCTAAATAGCTGTCTGAGTTTATTACTGTAGTTTGCTTGGCAACAGATAAACTTCTCCAATTTGTCTCAATAAAGCTAATAACTTTGTTCACAACACCGTTCTTCTGCCAAGCCTGCTCCAGCCTGAAAGGGGTGTACACCATAGTTAATCAGACAACGCTAAATGTCAATCCGCGCGGATAACCAAACTCCGCTCCCTCACCTCCAACTCCATCCCTCTCCATGGTAACTGGCTGAGGCTGAACCAGATTGTTCACAAGCCCAGTGGAATATTTCACCCCAAGGTGAACTTTCAACCACATATCCCCCATCATCACAAAAACCACAGTTCAACTTCAGTAACTCAGTTCACCTGCTGCTGAAACTCGACCAGTCCTTTGTCACATATAGACCTAACCATCCTAACACACTCCCAGCTGGCCTCCCACACTCCACCTCCCTGTAATCTTGGGGTCATCGAAAAATCTGCTGCCTGTGTGTTTACTCGCACCCAGTGCTCACTAATATACACATTTTCTGGGTGACAAAGCACCAAGATATTGAAATTCTTATCCTTATTTTGAAATTTCACCACTGCACCTCCATCTCTTGGTAATCCCTCCAGCCTCATAACCCTCTGGAGATAAATCTGAAGAAGCGTCATTGGACCTGAAACGTTAAATCTGCTTTCTCTCCACAGATGCTGCCAGACCTGCTGAGTTTCTCCAGCAATTCCTGTTTGTGTTTCTGATTTCCAGCATCCACAGTTCTTTTGGTTTTCTTTTCTGAGAATTCCAACTCCCTGAATTCCAACTTCTTGTGGATTTCTGGTTTTAACTATCCCACTTTTTCACCTTTTCCATGCTTTCAGTTTCCAAGGGCATAAGCTCTTGAATTTATTCCCAAAACCTCCCTCATTTTCAACTTCCCTTTGTTTGTTCACGATACTCCGTAAAAATGACCTCTGTCGCCCAGGTTTTGGTCACACGTCCTAAAATTTCCGTGTGTGCCTGACGTCAAATATTGTTTTATGACAATCCTGTGTAATATGTCAGATCATTGTATTGCATCAAAATGTGGGGGAAAAAAAGCAAATTGTTGTTCATTTGGACAAATACCACTGGTCTTTCAGTATCATTTGATAACTCCATATCTAACAGCATTGCAGGAGCACCTTCACCACACTGACTGCAGTGGTTCAAGAAGGTTAAACACCATCTTCTCTAGAAGTAACTGAGCATTGGCAATATTTACTGATATCTGTGGAGAGTGGGTACAAAGTTAATGTTTCCGAATATGCTGAACGAATTACAGAGATTAAACATGGTGCAGAACGTTGTGGTTAATATAAACTCAGAAGCAGAATAGAAAAAGGACTGCAGTAAGAACAATTCCAAACTGAGAAACGCACTGTTGGAAGATGAAACTTCTAAATCCATTGAATATGGTCAAAGAAAAGCAGTGGAAACCTCATCCAGACACAATTTGATAAAGTAACAGAGAAGTATTAAACAGACAAGTACTGGCATAATTTGAGACAGGCGGAAGGCAGAACTGAAACAAAGTAATGCATTGAAATAGATTCAGACCCATACTAAAGGAGACACACGAGCCATAGAGCCACAGAACCTCTAACACGTAACAGGCAGAACGCTAAAAGCTCAAAATTGTTGATGAATAATCAAAAATACTCAACAACATCACTGTTGTCGATTTGAAATTCTCCAGTGGAGCCTGAAGCTGGAAAGATATCGGAAGTACTAGAGTTGACAAAAATCTCACAGTTGAGGAAATCCCCGTGGAGCGGATGATGTCACTGTGTTAATGTCGCTGCATTGCGACATCATACACAGGAACACAGCACCTGGGTCTGTGCGAACCGAAGATCTCCCACACGTTGTGAAGGATGGCAGGGTCACTGAGAGGAAGCAAACTGGTTCCGTTGACAGAATATATCAAAATTGAGACATTAATTTTTTTTCTATTCATTTGTGGGATGAGGGCGTCGCTGGCTGGCCAGCAGTTCTTGTCTATCCCTAGTTGACCTTGAGAAGGTGATGGTGAGCTGCCTTCTTGAACCACGGCAGTCCTCCTGCTATAGATTGACTCACAATGCTATTAGGGAGGGAATTCCAGGATTTTGACTCAGTGACAGTGAAAGAACAGTGATATATTTCCAAGTCAGGATAGTTTGTGGCCTAGAGGGGAACTTGGAGGTGGTGGTGTTTCCATATATCTGCTGGTCTTGTCCTTCTAGGTGGAAGTGGTTGCGGGTTTGGATGGTGCTGTCTGAGGATCTTTGGTGAATTTCTGCAGTGCATCTTGTAGATAGTACACACTGCTGCTACTGAGCGTTGGTGGTGGGGGGAGTGTATGTTTGTTGATGTAGTGCCAGTCAAGCAAACTGCTTTGTCCTGGATGGTGTCAAGCTTCTTGAGTGTTGTTGGGGCTGCACTCAGCCAGGCAAGTGGCGAGTATTCCATCACATGCCTGACTTGCGCCTTGTAGATTGTGGACAGGCTTTGAGGAATCAGGAGGTGAGTTACTCGCCACAGTATTCCTAGCTTCTGGCCTGCTCTTGTATCACTGTATTTGTATGGTGAGTCCAGTTGAGTCTCTGGTCAATGATAACACCCAGGATGTTGATAGTGGGGATTATCTGAAACTGAAGAGAGATTTGGCAGAGCTGTACTGCTTACTGTTGGTTTAGACAATGTAGATTAAAAACAAGATGTTCACATTAGCTGGAAGCAAATGGATCATGGGATACAAATGTGAGATTTAGGTCCAGATTGATAGGGAGGATATGATGGAGAAATTATGTGCAGTGAGTGGTAATGATGGGAACACAAGAACACAAGAACTAGGAGCAGGAGTAGGCCGTCTGGCCCTTCGAGCCTGCTCCGCCATTCAATAAGATCATGGCTGATCCTTTCGTGGACTCTGATCCACTTACCCGCGTTCTTACCGTATCCCTTAATTCCTTTATTGTTCAAAAAAAATCTACCTTTTTTTTAAAAGCGTTTACTGAAGTAGCCTCAACGACTTCACTGGGCAAGGAATTCCATAGATTAACAACCCTCTGGATGAAGAAATTCCTTCTCAGTTCAGTCCTAAATCTGCTCCCTCTAATCTTGAGGCTATGCCCTCTTGTCCTAGCTTCACCTGCTAGTGGAAACATCCTCTCTACTTCTATCTTATCTATTCCCTTCACAATTTTATATGTTTCTATAAGATCCCCCCTCAATACTTACATTTAAAGGCCAATAATATCCAGTTTCTGATGAATCAATTGATTGTGTCAGATTTTGATTTGATGTTTGATTGGAGTTTCCTGTTTGTGAATCCTCTTCAAATATTCTGTAAAAGAAGTTCAGGAAAGACAGTGTCAGTCCGGGTTAGAAATCAGATGGACAAATTGCTCCTTTTGTTTGATTTTTTTTCTGTGTGTACATCCATCCTTACAAGCCTCAGTGAAAAAAGCTTCCAAAATCCATCACTATCAGTACAGAGAGGAAAGTGTAATAACTGGCTCTAAACAAGAACATTACTTCTGTCACCAAAGAGGCTGCCAATCCCATTGAGTTCCTCCAGCGCCCTCTCCTTTATTTCAGAAATTCACAATATCCCTCGTCCTGGCAGAGGGTGACCAGGTATATTGAGAACAGAGATCACCACACATTGTGAAGGATGGGAGGGTCCTGAGAGGGGATAGACTTATCATTCGCCAGAACGTTCAGGACTGAGGGATTTGAGATGCAATGGAACAACTGGAGTGGAAGGGAAATTTGACAGAGTTTATGGGCTTATAATTGGATTAGGTAAGGTAGATAAAAACAAGACGTTCACATTAGCTGAGGGAAAATGGACTATGAGATACAAATTTAAGATTTTGGACAACATCAACTAGGAGGACTTGGTGAAGAAGTTATATAGTAGGGATTCTATAGCCAGTATATAGTAATGGTAGATGGTTTGACTGGCTTGTCTGAGGTGCTGCATTCAAGCTCCCGTCTCTCTTGAATCGTGGTGTTGAATCTTACTGGGACCAGAATCACAAATGATATACCTCTGGCAGTTACATTGAAGGAGCTGGGAAACTTCAAGTTTGCAATGTTTGATTTTCTTCTGTGTGTTTGCAGCCATTCAGGCCTGTGACATTCTCGATGATGAAAGTGGGAAAATTGACGACAGACTCTGAAAACAGTGAGAGCTCCAGCTTCACAACAGCCCTTTGAATCTCTGCTGACACTCTGCTTTAAGGTATTTTGCATGGCTTGTTAATGCTAGTTTCTGTGGCTCAACTGATCAACGTCAAGCTATAAGCTAAAAGATTTGTGGTCCAAGACCATCCAGGCAAGGAACTTCAGTTATTTCAGATCGAACAATTAGAGTGACCACATACCTACATTTAACCCATGAAAAGATTGGATTCAAAACACACCCATCAATGATTCTCTGTGCCCCAGCTCCACACAGAGTGAGACAGGGACAAGTGTCAGGATTTGACCCCACACTCTCCAATTCCACCCCCTCCCCCAGCCACCAGCAGAAAGTGGCCACTGCAGCTTCAATCAGCAGCTTCTTGCCCACCCCTGGGACACAACTTATAGAAACTCGTTCCTCACGAATGGTTCTTCTCATGCGAAAAAGGCGATTTAAAAAAAAAAATGTCAATGGCTGCAGCAGATTCTCCCTGCCTTTAGAACATTTTTAACAAAATCCTTGTCCTCAGATTAGAAGCAGCAAGATTTTGTGATGAGAACAGCAATATAAATTGAACTCCTTTCCATTTATCGAAAAGTGGGAAGAACACACCCTGGCTGGATAATGAGGGAGCAGTGCTATTTCTGCTTGGTATCAAACCAGGGATCTTTTGCATGTAAGGCAAACATGATAATCTCCACATTACAGAAACAGAATAGGGCCACCGACCCAATCGAGCTGTCATGCATCATGGATTGCTTTGTCCAGAACAGTTTGGTTTTGTTGTGCATGACTGAAATCGAGCTCGGTCACACAAAGAGATGGTGTAACAAGCTACCAGCGCATGTGGAGGGGGCTGGATTCAAATCCATGCTGGAAAAGAAATTGAATCCTAAATCCAGGAGGATCAAATGTTACAGGAGGAAGGCTCAATAATGGTGTTGAGAACCATATCAGTCATGATCGAATGACAGAGTAGACTAGATGGGTTGAAAGGCCTAATCATGGTCCTACATCTTCTCATCTATGGTCATCTGGTATCTAAGGAGATAGAAGCAGAGTTAACTGTTCAGTTCGATGACCTTCCATCAGAATTGGGCAAAGTGAGAGATGGGACATGTTTGCAACAAATCCAGAAATTGGAAAAGAGAGAGAGAGGAAATAATAAAAGAGAAGCTCAGTATGAAGGTGGAAGACAGGAGAGATTCAATCAAAAAGGGTGTTGCTGAAAGGCACAGGGAGATGTAAATGGAAAAAGAAACCGACGTTCGATGAAGGGTCACTGGACCCAAAATGTTAACTTTGCTTTCCTTTCACAGATGCTGCCAGGACCTGCTGAGTGTTTTTTTCCAGCAATCTCTGTTTTTGTTAAAAATACAGAAATTGAGAGAGCTATTCTGGACACATCAGCGCTCTCTGCTCTGGGAATGTTTTACTTTCCCGTTCACACAGATCACTTCTCTCCTACACTGAAAACTCACAACCCTGCCCCTTTGTTACTGAGAATAAATATTTCATTGTGTAAACCCACACAGTCACACAAGAAGATAATATTCCTTGTAAATGTTCAGGGAGAGTTCCCTAATGTTTTCATTGGAATCTTCTGAATCAGTTAATTCTGGTTCTGCTCCATTTGACATGGAGCCACCACTGCCAATCTCTCCAGGAAGTGGCTATTCTCATTCTGTGGCTCTGAATAGTTTTGTTGCTGCAGGGCTGGAGTGGAACTTTCCCCTTTGAAAGTGACATCATTCATTTTACATTCAGCTGCACCTACAAACTTGTCTGGCACTTCCAGTACAGCAGAGATGGTTTTCACGCAGAAACCAGTCTCTGAACAAAAGCAACAGGAGAGAGACCCTGTTTCATGCGGTGATACTGCCAGTGGATTGGAGGGCTGGGCTCCACCTCCAAAGTGAAGTTCTAAAAATGAAGGCACCCCGCGTGGGGCTCAAGCCCATGACCCTGAGATTAAGAATTCATGCTCTGCCGCCTGAGCTAGCTGGGCCTGACTAACTACTATTTCATCTCTCATTTCACACTGAGGCAAATCCACCTGGAACCTCAAAATCCAAGGTTCCAGTGTATTCTTCCCAGTCACAAATAAAATCATTCACATCTTCCACTCCTCAGCTGTTACTCCTTCAACACATGGAGATGCTGGGGTTGTACTGGGGTGGACAAAGTCAGAAGTGATACAGCACCAGGTTATAGTCCAACAGGTTTATTTGAAATCACGAGCTTTTGAAGCGTAGACTCTTTGTCAGGTGAAGTGAGAGAAAAGGACAAAGAACACAAAATTTATGGGCAGAGAGATCAAGGGCAGAGAGATCAAAAGATCATACAAATGATGTGAGTGGAGTATCCAATTAGTGTCTGCAGGGGATTAAAGTGTCAGACGGTGTGAGTAAAGTGTCAATGGCTGAGTAACAAGTGAAGGGATGACCAATAATCTGATTAAATGAGGCAGAGAGATAATTTCAAAAAAAAAGATAAAGTAGTGCTGGAGACAAACCAAATGACTGGAATAACATGATAGGTATAACAGTTGCATGCCAAGGGTCTAACCAAGGTAGAAAGTAATCCAAAACTGTGCAAACTAATTAAGGTAGAGAGATCATAACAATTTATCAAATTGATGGTGTCAAAACAGGACAGTAAGGAAGATTTTACAGATATAGAACAGTGTGGTCGGGTCACATGTAGTGTGACATGAACCCATGATCAGAGTTGAGGCCGTCTTCATGGGTACGGCAATTGTCCATCAGTTTCTGCTTGGCGATTCTGTGCTGTTGTGTATCTTGAAGTCTGCCTTGGAGGATGCTTACCCAAAGATCGGAGGCTGAATGTCCTTGACTGCTGAAGTGTTCCCCGAATGGGAGAGAACATTTCTGTCTGGAAATTATTGCGTGGTGTCCATTCATCCATTGTCATAGCATCTGCCTGATCTCACCAGTATACCATGCCTTGGGGCATTCTTGCCTGCAATGTATGAGATAGACAACATTTCTGAGTCACATGAGGATCTGCCATGTACTTGGTGTTCCCACGTGTGATGGTGGTATCCATGTTGATGATCTGACTTGTCTCGCAGAGGTTGCCATGGCAGGGTTGTATGGTGTTATGTACGATGTTGTCCTGATGGCTGGGTCATTTGCTGTGAACAAATGGACACCTAAAGGTTTTGAACGACACCCTCATAAGACCGGGATAGAATGCTCAACTCATCAATTGCCAGTTCTGACGTGCCATAGCAAAAACTCAATGGAACTTCTCAGAAGACAGACACAGGTTACGACTGATAAAGTACCCTTTGTTATCCAGTAACTCACCAAAGCGAAGAAACTTTGACATGTTCTTTGCAGCCTTCAACATGTCATTGATGATAATGAGCATCTCGCCAAGCTCATCCATACGCCTTTACTTCTCACCTTCAAACAACCACCAAACCTTAAACAGATCAATATTCTCAGCAAACTGATGGTAGCTAGGTAATTGTTCATATGCAGAAGATAAACTGACATTTTCCTAGCTACCATCTGTTCTGAGGAAGTGTCACCAAATGCTGCCAGACCTGTTTTTCCAGCAACTCAGTGAGTAAAAAGGACACATCATTTCATCAGATCATCTTCATTCCAAAACAAAACAAAGACCAGAACTGCTAATCTCTTCCTGCATTTTCTGTATATTATCAACTGAATGTACTCCTAAAGGCATTTTCAGAATTTGCTTTCACATTTCAGAATTGAATATAAATTCAGAATCTTTAAACATATTTTTAAAACACTTCTGTTTGATGAGAATGTTAACTAGCACCACTGAGAAACATAAAGAATGATTTTGTCATTTTAAAATTATACAAATAAAATGATGCCTTCGAACTGGAATGTCTGAAGGAGGTTAAACAAAATCGGAGGCAGTAGTTCATCAAACTCTGAGGATCCACCAAGTCCTTGGTTTAAATTGTTGTTCTTCCTGTATATGGTGTGTTGGTGATACAAGACACTGTAATTTGCATTATGTTTTCTCAGGACGAGAAAATGCTTTGACAGAGGGTTTTGAAAAAATATGTTCATTTACAGATGAGGACAGGACTGGCTATTCCAGTATTTATTATCCATCCCTTAATTGTCCAGCGTCAACTACATTCCTGCGAGTCTGTAATCACATGTATACCAGACCAGGCAAGGATGACAGACTTCCTTCCCTAATGGACATTAGTGAACCAGACGGATTTATCTGACAATCAACAATGGTTTTTGTTGGATTCAAATTGCACAATCTGATTTGAACCCAGTTGCCTAGACCATTACGTATCTCTCTAGATTAATAGTCCAGCGATAATACCACTAGGCCATCGCCCCTCCTCAAGGTATCCCCTCAAAAGAAGTATCAGGAACAGCAAGAAATTCAAGAAAATAAACAGATCCATGGCAGATCACTTACCCAGTATCCCACACGCTTCGGAATGTCCACTATCAACAATGCAGGAAACAGAGCGCAGACGCAACATGCGCTGAGTGAGTGATGGCGACGGACGGAGGTGTTCTTTTCGGTGAAAATGAAGCGGACCGCAGAGCGCAGTGGATCCGGCAGGTCACAGGAAGACTTTGTAACATTTTTGTGCAAATATTAAAATCCGAAGAAGAAACTCCTGGGCTTCTGTTTGCATCAAATAGGACGACGGCTCCAGGCTTCCGTCCAGGGGCAGGCTTCGGCTCCGCAAGCCATCTTTATCGGGGGCACTTGAAGGTTTGGGGGAGGATGGTGGAGAGGCAGTTGTGGACGCCACCTTTGTAAGGGGCAATGTCTGGAATGACTCGGAGGAGGCTTGCTGCCCATTGTTCAGAATGAAGACAACTTCTCCATCAAGGGATAGTAAGGATTGCAGACGCTGGTCCATCAAATTGCATTAGCCTTTCACACCGAATGTCTAATTGATGAGAGAGAGGAGCAGCAGACAAGGAAGGAAAAGGAAGCAAATCCTTCCCTCCAGATCCATTTTTCATGTGTCCAAAGATTTGTGGGTTGGTCAGTCACATGAAGACCCAGGGCGGTCGCTGACAACCCTGACTAGAAGTCACTATCGAATCCAAACACTGCCGATCACATTGAGTGGCACTATGCAGCAGAAGTGTGTGTGGTCGATTTGAGCCAGAAGGAAAGGGACATTATTATTTTCTAAAGTAAAATAGAAGGTGCTGGGACCCCAAAGGACTGGCAGCCTTTATGGATAGAGAAACAACATTAACATTTACAACCTGATATCGCTTTGTTATATAACATAAACAGAAGTTGCTGGAAATGCTCATCAGGTCTGGCAGCATCTATGAAGAAAAAAAAAAACAGAATAAACGTTTCACGTCCGGTGACCTGAAACATTAACTCTTATTTTTTCTTCACAGATGCTGCCAGACCTGCTGAGCATTTCCAGCAACTTCTGTTTTTGTTCCTGATTTACAGCTTCCACATTTTGGTTTTTATGGCTCTGTTCTATCCTGGACTGATAGTGATTGATTTTGGAAATTTCTATCACTGAGGTTTGGAAGCGCATACGTGCAAAAATCAGACAAAGGGAATAATTTGTTTGAGTTCTAACCTTCCCTGACACTGTCTTTCAAAATTTCTTTTCCAGAGTATTTGAAGAGGATTCACAGACTGAAAACTCCAACCAACCATCATTTAAGAATCTGACAGAATCAGTGGATTCATCAGATACTCAATATTTTTGGCCTTTGGGTAAGCATTGACTTCCCAGTCATTATCATGTACTGAGTATAATTTCTTCATTATATTCTCTCTGTCATTTTGTCTAAGTTCTTAAATTAGTATCCCATGATCCATTTCCTATCAGCTAATATGAACAACTTATTTATATCTTGCAGGTCTGTCTACTCTCCCTTTAGTTTCAGTTGCTCCTTCACATCACAATCCCTCAGTCCTGAACCATTCTGGTGAATGGACCAATCTGGCACCTCATCAGGGACCCAGCCATCCTTCCCAAAGTGTGGGTGATCTCTGACTTGTGCAGGCCCAGATGCTCTGTATTCCTGTGTGTGATGTCATCATGCAGCAACAACTACACAGTGACATCAGTCACTCCCAGGGGGATTTCCTCAACTATGAGATTTTCCTCTGACCCCAATGTTCCTGATACCTTTCCAACTGTAGGCTCCAAGAAGAGAGTGTAAAATTGAAAATAGTGACATTGTTTAGTATTTTTGACTATTCATCAACAATTTTGTCTGTTACCTGTGAGAAGTTCTGTGGCTCTGGGCTGGTGTGTCTCCTTTAGTGTGGATCTGATTCGATTTCAATACATTGCTGTGTTTCACTTCTGCCCTTCCTCTGTCCATGTTAGTTTTGTCATCTGTGTCCAGCTGAGGTTTCTACTATAACACATAGCGTCATACGTAATGGAAACAGACCCTTCAGTCTAAATTGTTCATGCTGACCAGGTATCCTAATCTAATCTAGTTCAATTTGCCAGCATTTGACCCATATCTGTCTAAATCCTTCCCATTCATGTACCCAACCAGATGCCTTTTAAATGTTGTAATGGTACCCGCCTCGACGGCTTCCTCTGGCAGCTTGTTTCATACATGCACCACCCTCTGCATGAAAATGTTGCGCCTCCCTTTTAAATCTTTCCCCTCTCCATTTAAACTGTTGCCTGCTAGTTTTGGACTCCCCAACCATGGGAAAAAGACTTTGGCTATTCACTATATCCATGACCCTCATTATCTTGTCAACCTCTATAAGGTCACCTTTCAGGCTCTGATGCTTCAGGGAAAAATGCGCCAGCCCATTCAGCCTCTCCCTATTGCTCAAACTCTCCAAACCTGGCAACTTCCTTGTAAATCTTTTCTGTACCTTCTCCAGTTTTAGTTCAGATCTTCCTGACCATATGCTGTGGATTTAGAAGCTTTCCCTTCTCAGAATATCTTTCTAAGTCAAGTATTGTTCTTCCTGCAATGCAGTCCTTTTCTCTTCTGCTTCTGAGCTTATGTTAGCAAAAAAGTCTGCACCATGTTTATTCTCCGTAATTAATTCAGCATATCCTGAAACATTAACTCTTGTCTCTTTCCACAGATTTCAGTAAATATTGCCAATCCTCAGTTACCTTTTGGAGAAGATGATGTTTGACCTTCCTGAACTACTACAGTACATGTGGTGAAGGTGCTCCCAAAATACTGTTCGGTAAGTAGAGACCAAATGACAGTGAACGACCAGAGTATTTGTCCAAATGAACAATAATTTGTATTTTTTTCACATATTTGATGGAATAAAATGATGAGATATTACATTAGGTGGTCATAAAACAATACTTAACATCAGGCAGATATGAACATATTAGGACAGGTGACCAAAACTGGGCCAAAGCCATCAGTTTCATAGAATCATAGAATCCCTACAGTGTGGAAACAGGCCCTTTGGCCCAACATGTCCACACCGAACCTCAGAGTATCCCACCCAGACCCATCACCCTATAACCCACACCTCCCTGAACACTACGGGCAATTTAGCATGGCCAATCCACCTAGCCTGCACATCTTTGGGCTGTGGGGGGAAACCGGAGCACCCGGAGGAAACCCACACAGACACGGGGAGAATATGCAAACTCCACACAGACAGTTGCCCGAGGATGGAATCAAACCCGGGTCCCTGGTGCTGTGAGGCTGCAGTGCTAACCACTGAGCCACCGTGCTGCCCCTTTTGAGAACAAGGTTTCAAGGAATAACTTGAAGAAAGGAAGTGAGGTTGAAAGTGATTGACATTTATAGAGTAAATGCAAAAGCTTATACCCTTGGATGGTGAAAGCATGATGTTAGAGACAGGACACTTAAAATCAGGGATGCTTAGGAGGTTGAAATTTAGGATACATTGTATCTCAGAGAGTTCTGAGGCTGAAGGAGATTACCAAGAGTGGGAGGAGCTATGGAGAAATTTCACAATATGGATAAGAATTTCAATAGCTTAGTGCTTTGTCACCCAGAAAATGGGTAGGCCATTGCACAGGGTGAAAATGTCTAGTGCGAATAAGCACCTGGGAGTTTTGCATGACCTTAAGATTACTGGGAGATTGAATGTGGAAGGCCCGCCAGGAGTGTGTGAAGTTAGTTAATTCTAGAGGTAGAAAAGGAATAAAGTTTCAGCATCAGATGAACTAAGACTAGCGTGAAGTCTGGTGATATTACTGAGGTCTTGGTGATGATGGGGATGTGTGTTGGAAGCTCAACTTAGGGTGAAGTATTTCATGTTAGTTGTGAACAAGGTGGTTCAGCTTCAGACAGTGCCCAGGGAGACGGATAGAGTCAGGGCTGAGGGAGTAAAGTTTGTAACAGGAAGTGACGCCAATGGCTTCAGTCTTTCCAATATCTAAATAGAGGAAATTTCAGCTCACCCAGTATTGGATGTCAGACAAGTCAAGATGGTGTGTGATTGGGTGGTGATGATTGTCACATAAACCTGATAGTGTGGTCCTTTTAGATGGTGGTGGTTGTGATTTTGGAAGAGTGAGGTGCTGGGAGATTCTGACACAGTTTTGGTTGAGTAGTAAATATTTAAAATCCTATTCCTTCCTGTATCTTCCACCACTCACTTTGTCCTCCCACAGAAACCCGAGTATTTTAAAGGCCCAGACATGCTGGCAAGATCCCTTCCCTGAAGGACGTTTGTGAATCAGTTTGGTTTCATAGAGACGTACATCAGTGAAACAGGCCCTTCAGCCCACCGCCTCTATGCTGACCAACAAACACCCAGACACACTAATCACATTTACCTGCATGTGGGCCATATCTGACCTTGCCCTGGCATTTTAAGTACTCATCCAGATGCTTCTTAAGTGTTGCTAGATTACCTGTTTCCACCACTCTCTCAGGCAGCACGTTGCCTCTATCTACCACCCCCTGGGTGTTTCATTTTCTCAGACAACCTCTTAAACCAATTACAACAAAAACAAAATTGCTGGAAAAGCTCAACAGGTCTGACAGCATCTGTGAAAGAAAAACAGAGTTAACGTTTCAGGTCCGGTGACCCTTCCTCAGAACTGATAGTGGCTGGGAAAACATCAGTTTATATGCAGAAAATAGGGAGGTGGGTGGGGTAGGGAGTAAATGATAGGATAGAGCCCAAAGAGAGAGAAAGACAGTTGGACAGACAGTTGTTCCTTTCCACTCTGCTCTCTGGTCTTAAATGCATTTGTCATGGGGAAGAAATTCTCAGTACCAAAAATCTCAATTCAGTTAGACAGGATGTCTCTCTAACAAATCCATGCTGACAATCTCTGATCAATCTCTGCCTTTCCATGTTGACTAATCCTGTCCTTCAGACTTTTTTCCAATAATTTCCCTATCACGACATCACCAGTTAATTATCTGGCCTTTCCGTGCTGCCCTCCTTGAACAAAGGAATCACATTAGTTATCCTCCAGCCATGTGGTACTTCAGCTATGGCCAGTGAAGCATTAGCTATCTCTGCCAGGGCCCCAACAATCTCCTCCCTTGCCTCCTTGCAGCTTGGGATAATTAGCAAGGTTAGATCATATGGAATCCACACAAAGCTAGCCATTTGGATACAAAAATTGGCTTGAAGTTAGAAAACAAGCATGGTGGTGGAGGGCTACTTTTCAGTTCCTGGGGAGTGTTGCTGAACAAAGAGACCTTGGAGTGCAGGTTCATCATTTCTTGAATGTGGAGTCTCAGGTACACAGGATAGTGAAGAAGGCGTTTGGTATGCTTGCCTTTTTTGGTCCGTGCATTGAGTTTAGGAGTTGAAATGTCATATTGCAGGTGTACAGAACATTTTAGGGCACTTTTGGAATACTACATTCAATTTTGGTCTCCATGCTATAACAAAAAAATGTTGTTAAACTTGAAAGCATTCAAAAAAGATTTACAAGAATGTTGCCAGGGTTGGAGGGTTGGAACTATGTAGAGAGAAACTGAATAGACTGGGGCAGAAGATGGGTAGCAGTCCCCCATTATAGCTGACTGCCTGGACCCGTTGATGGTCACTTTGGCCAGGCCTGGGAGCACAGCTACAAACTCCCCTGGGCCCTAGTTCCAGATCCCACCTGATCTAAGGAAGGCTGCCTTCTTGCATCTTCCGTGCCGAGCCTGGTTAAAAGTTTAGTTTGCTTGAAGGAGCTCCCCACTCATTCCTTTAAACTTGAGAGAATACAGGCCCAGTCCCCTCGATCTTTCCTCACAGCAATCATGAGGGGCACGGATAGGATGAATAGCCACAGTAAGGGAGACAAAACTAAATGGCATAGTTTTAAGGAGAGAGGGGAAGGATTCAAAAGGGACCTACGAGACAACTTTTTCACGCAGAGATTAGTGCATGTATAGAATGAGCTGCCAGTTTAAGTGGTGGAGGCTGGTGCAATTACAACATTTTAACGCATCTGGAAAGGGTACATGAATAGGAAGGGTTTAGAGTGATATGGGCCAAATGCTGGCAAATTGGACCAGATTAATTTAGGATATCTTGTTGGTATGGACGAATTAGATGAAAGGATCTGTGTCCATGCTGTAAAGCTCTCTGACTCTATATCCCATCAGTCCGTGGGGTTTATACACCTTTTTGCCTGTTGCAAGATCTAACACCTCCTCCAAATTAATCTTAATGTGTTCTAGAATCTCAGCAACCCCACTGAAATTTCCGTTTGCAATGTCATTCTCCACTGTGAATACAGATGAAAAGTATTCATTTAAGATCTCACCTACGTCCTCTGGCTCCACACGCATGTTGCCCTATTGATTTCTAGTAGGCCCCAAAGTTTCCCTGGCAATCCTCTTATTCTAAAAATACTTTTAAAATGCTTTAGGACTTTTTTCCCATGGTATCTGCCAGAGATATTTCGTGGTCAGACTTGCCCTCCTAATTTATTTTTTAAGCACCCCTTACACTCTGTACTTTTGAAGGGCCCCCCTCCTGTTTTTATTGCACTGTACCTAACATATGCATTTTTATTTTTTAAACTCTTGATATCCCTTGATATTCAGAGTTCCTTGGACTTGCTGCCCTTGCCCTTCAATCTTAGAGGAGGTTTCAATGACAGCCAGCAGCCTTCATCGTCTCTTTTTTTGTCCCATAAATTCATACAAAACTTTAATAGAATCTCAACCAGCTTGTTTCCCCAGTTTTGTGTTTTTGTGGGCTTTCTTTCATTCTTTTTTTTTATTTGTGTCTTAACTCAGTTTCTCAGGGTATTAGAGGGAGAAGCTTTGCAGTTGGAAAATTACATCAAATATCGCATCAGGATCTGATGGTGTCACACAATTTATTCTAACTTGAATATTGTCAATTTTAAACATGGAAGATAAAAGCACTTGTTATAGTGGGGAGAAACCGTATACATGATCTGTGTTTGGACCAGATTTCAGACAATCATTTGGCCTCTCAGAACATTAGTGCAGTCACATCGGGCAGAAACCGTGGAAATGTAGAGATTGTAGGAAGAATTTCAAATCCCCCTCTGACCTGGAAAGACATCGGTGAAGTCACCCTGGAGAAAGACCATTCCCCTGTTCCAAATGTGGGAAGGGATTCACTCAGTTATTCCACCTTCTGAAACACCAGTGACTTCACACTGGTGAGAGTTCTTTTAAATATCTAGAGTGTGGGATATGCTTTACACGTTCCAAGGAACTGATGTACCATCAACGTGTTCACACTGACCAGAAACCACTCAAACGCTCTCACTGTGGGACAAGGTTTGGATACTCATCTCAACTCATCGTACACCAGTGAATCCACACTGGGGAGAGACCACACATATGCTCTGAGTGTGGGAAGGGGTTCAGTTGATCATCCAGCTTCCTTCCATACAGGCGAGTTTGCACTATGGAGGTATCTTTTAAATGCCCAGACTGTGGAATTGCTTTGAAAGTTCCAGAGAGCTGACGTCGCATCAATATGTTCACACTGAGGAGAGACCATTCAGATGCTCTCACTGTGGGACTGGCTTCATGCACTCATCCTGATTCATCGTACACCAGTGAACTCACACTGTGGAGAGACCATTCACCTGTGGGAAGGGATTCAGTCATTCACGATATCTGCTGAGACACCGGTGAGTTCACACTAGGGATAGACCGTTCACCTGCTCTGAGTGTGGGAAAGGATTCATTTTGTCATCCACCTGCCAATGCACCAGCAAGTTCACACTGAAGTGAGATCTTTCAAATGCCCAGACTCTGGGAAATGTTATAAAACTTCCTAGGAACTGATGAGCTATCAGCATAGTCACATTGGCGAGAGACTATTCAGGTGCTGTCACTGTGGGATAGGGTTCAAATGATCGTTTCAACTCACTGTCCACCAGCGAGTTCACACTGGGGAGAGGCCATTCACCTGCTCTTGAGTGTGGGACAGGATTTGTTATGGTGACACAACTCACCATAACAGACTGGATAGTATAAATTCCAAGTGGAGTCGAACAACATCACTTCATCGGAGGCCTCACTGATAATGTTACCTAGCATGGTGATGCAATGTCTGAACAAAAACAAGCCGGCTCGGCGAACAAGTCAACAATCTCACCCACAATCCGAGCTACAAATATTTGCAAAAACCTTAATGTGTTGATTGGATCCATTTCTGCAAATTGTTGGGAACCAGGTTCTTTTAAGTATGGTTGGATGTCGTTGTTTGTTACTTATTCCCCAACAAAGGGCCATTTTAGAGGGCAGTTAGGAGTCACCCACATTACTATGTGTCTGGAGTCACATGTAGGCCAGATGGATAACAGATTTCTTTTCACCAAGGACATTGCTGAACCAGATCAGTTGTTCTGACTATCAGTGGTAGTTTTATGGCATGACCAGGGAGACTAGCTTTTAATTCCAGACCTTTTGAATGGTATCTAAATTCCACCAGCTGCTGTAGTGTTTTGATTCTGTATCACCTGAGCATTACCATCTGGAAGGATCACTAGTCCAGGGACACTCCTGCTACACTGCAATCACCTCCTAAACTCCAGCTCAGTTCTAGATATTAATATTCCATGTAAATGTCAAATCAGTTAGCTTTGTTTCAACTAGTGCATTGAGTCATTTTAAAATTCTGACAAGTTGGATCCTTTTGAAATGCTGTCCTTTTCCCGTGTTCTCCATCCTCACCTCCAGCAACAAATGTGAGGAGCTCATGGAACCTCTTTGTCACTGTGATTGAGACAATCTGATTGGCTGCCACCCTTTAACTACCCAATGGGCCATACTGTCTCTTAAGGCCCCCCCCCAATGCCTGAGACATGAATTTGCACCTTTCTCCATACGTCATTCGTAGTCACCAGCAATTCGATACTGGAGAGAGAGGGTGTGAGTGTTTCACCTGTGACAAGATTTATAAAACCTCTTTCACTGATGGTGCTCCTGTGCACTCACTGTGGTTCCATTCCATTGATCCAGTCTCACTGTGGGAAGAGGTTCTAGTGATTGTTGAACTGGCAGCGCCACCAGCAAGTTCACACCGGGGAGAGGTCACTCACCTGATCCATGTGTGTGAATGGCTTCACTAATTTATCAGACCTGCTTGCACATTCCTGAATTCACACTCCGTGTCCACCAGTGCACTCGCACTGAGGAGAGGCCATTCAGCAGCTGCCAGTGTGGGAGGAAATTCAGTCAGTCCTTCCCACCTCAGCACACAGCAACATGTTCACACTGATAAGAACCTGTTTTAAAGTTCTTCTTGCGAGCAGAGATTTTAAAGCGAAATGTATCAAAGGTAACAAAAACTCATTCACTCTGGTGCAAAACTGTTCACTCTTCTCTGTGGGAGAAAGGACTCATTTGACAACACTGAGATGCCAGAGAGTTCACAAGTGACTCCAGTCTGCTGTAGCTGGTGCTGTTAGTCACATCCAAGAGTGAATTATGTTCATTCTGAAAGGTGATGTTTGTTTCTGCTGTGTTAATAATCCCTGTGACTGGACTGGAGTGTAATAATCAGGTCAGACATCAAATAAATTAGCCTTGGATGAATGACGCCTTTGTTAGCTTCTGTCTTTTTCACCTGGCCGGAGCTCAGAAAGACCAATCTGGGGGCAGTACAGCAGATACAGAACGCCAGCCTGAATACAATTGTTCAGGATCACGTTAAGAATGACAAACAGACTTGGGTTCTCTATTCACTGACAGCAAAGCCAATGTATGGGTTCACCCTGAGATCGGGAAGAAATGCATCCCAGCCACTCTCCTGCCTGGTTCACAGTTCTTGGACATGGAACACAACCACTGTTACAACTGGGTTTAGACTCAGCGAGATTAATGGGGAATGCTGCAAACTGGCTGATTTGGGGTCAAATTGGGATCTATTCCTGAATAAAAGTGAATCAGCAGATTTAGGTTTCCAGTCTGACTGTGAAGCTAGCCATTCTGTGCAGATGTAATATGTCTATCTGACAGTCCTGAGCCCTACCATTTTAATGCAGATGTTAATTCCCTTAATTTTAAATACATTGTTTAAACTCTGCATTGAAATAACAGATAGAGGATTATGCAGGAGCTTAGTCACTACGGGTACATCTATACAATAGATATTTGCTCTCCAGAGAAAAGCTTACTTCCTGGAATTCCCTGTTATATTTGTGTGTGTGTGTGTGTGTGAGTGAGTGAGTGAGAGGGAGAAGATTCACAACTTGGAATATCCATGAGGGATGTGATCCTGGCAGTCAATCTGGGATCATTCCTGCTGTGAACTCCAGTACTGACCCTACTGAAGTTTGTAGGCTCAATGAGTGGACAGTCAGGAAGCTGGGTTTACCTATCTGGTAAGGAAATAGATGAATCCTTACTTAGAGTTTTATCCTTCTGTCAGTGTCACTGTAGTTGTGAAACTAAAAACTAATAAGGGCAGGTATCCCATATGCCTTTTTAATCATTTTATCTACCTGATACATTAAGGGACCATGGATATGCCCACCAAGGTCAGTTTAATGCTCGATGCTTCCCATGGCTCTACTGTTCATCATGTATTCCCTACCTTCTTTGTCCTTCCCAAGTGTATCACCTCACATTTATCTGGATCGACTTCCATTTGACACTGATCAGCCCATCTGACCGGCCAAGGGCTTCAACACTGACCCCTGCAGAATTCCTCTGGGCACAGGCATTCTGACACAAACACATTTCTCTGCTTCCTGCCACTCAGCCAGTTCTGGATCAAATTTGCTAAATTTCCTTGGCTCTTACCTTTATTATCAGTCTCCCACACAGGACCTCATCAAGAGCTTTGCTGGCGTCCAAGGCAACTATCTCAATTACATTGCTGTCATCTATGCATCCACATACGTCTTTGAAAAATTCAATCAAGTTGGTAAGACATGACCTTCCTTGAACAAATCCATGCTGGCTGTTCTTGATTAATCTCTACCTCGCCAAGTGCAGATGCATTTTATTCGTCAGAATTGCTTCCAATTGTTTGCCCACCACTGATGTAAGAATGACAGGCCTGTAGTTTCCTGGTTTATCCCTAGCTCCCTTATTGAATTAGAGTACCACATTGGCTGTGCTTCAATCTCTGACACCTCTCCTGTGGCAAGAGAAGGACTGAAAATTATATCCAGCACATGGCACAAAGGTAGGTAACAGAGAGTGATGGTGGAGGATTGCTTTTCAGACTGGAGGCCTGTGACCAATGGTGTGCCGCAAGGATCAGTGCTGGGTCCACTGCTTTTTGTAGTTGATATAAGTGATTTGGATGTGAATGTAGGAGGTATGGTCAGTAAGTTTGCAGATGACACCAAAATTGGTGGTGTAGTAGACAAGTGAAGGAGGTCACCTCAGACTACGACTGGACCTTGATCAGATGGGCCGATGGGCTGAGGGGTGGCATATGCAGTTTGGTGTAGATAAATGTGAGGTGCTACATTTTGAAAGGGCAAATCAGGGCAGGACTTATACACTTAATGGTAAGGTCCTGGGGAGTGATGTCAAACAAAGAGACCATGGGGTGCAGGTTCATAATTCCTTGAAAGTGGAGTTGCAGGTAGACAGGGTAGTGAAGAAGGCATTTGGTATACTTGCCTTTATTGGTCACTGCACTGAGTATAGGAGTTGGGAGGCCGTGTTGTGGCTGTACAGGACATTGGTTAGGCCACTTTTGGAAAACTGCATTCAATTCTAGTCTTCCTGCTGCTCAGAAAAGATTTATGAGGATGTTGCCAGGGAATGTGTTAAGATTATTAAGTCTAGAGGTAACAGAGGAATGGATGAGAATTTCAGCAGCAGATGAGCTGGGACTAAGGTGGAGTCAGGTGAAGTTACTGAGGTCTTGTTGATGATGGGGTTATGTGATTGGATGCTTGTCTTTGGTGAAAAAGTTTGCCATGGTTATGAACAGTCTGGTTCAGCCTCGACATTTATCAGGGAGAGAGATGGAGTCAGTGGCAAGGGAGTGGCAGTTTCCCAGCCTAGGTCCCTGTATGTGACAAATGGCAGTGCCCCTGTTGGACATTATGATGATCCAGCAGCTTTCATGGTTATTTTCTCCAGGTGTCGGGCCCAAACTTTTCAAGATTCATTCAGCTCAATTTCACAACCTGCTGTTGTGTTTTTGTAGGTTCTCTCTCATTCCCTTTTTTTCTGTTTGATATCAATTTCACAGGAATTTAGAATGAGAAGATTTGTAGTCACAAATCTCCAAACCAAACATCACATCAGCATCTGATGGAATCACGTGGCATATTGACGTGTGAATACCATTGGGTTTTGAACATGGAAGGAAAGAGCATTGTTCATAGTGGAGAGAAACCGTACACATATTCTGTGTGGAAAAAGCTTCAGCCAATCATTATTCCTCTCAAAACAAAATACAGGCACCAAATGGAGAAACTGTGGAAATGTAAGGAATGTGGGAAGGGATTCACTTCTCCATCAAAGCTGGAAACTCATTGGTGCAGTCACACTGAGGAGAAGCCATTCACCTGCTTCAAGTGTGGGAAGGGATTTATCCAGTTACCCCACCTACTGACACGCCAGTGAGTTTACACTGGGGACAGATCTTTTAAATGCTCCCAGTGTTGGAAAAGATTCACTCAATTAGGTCACCTACTGACACACCAGCAGATTCACACTGACCCTGCATCTGCATTCAACATGGAAAGAGTTTCAGGCATTCAGAGCTTCATTGCACACCAGCGGGTTCACAGTGGGGAGAGGCCATTCACCTGCTCCGACTGTGGGAAGGGATTCACTCAGTTAGGTACCTTGCTGACACACCAACAAGTCCACACTGGGGAGAGGCCGTTCATCTGCTCCATGTGTTGGAAGGGATTCGTTACCTCATCCCACCTGTGGAGACACCAGTGAGCTCACCTGAAACGGTAGGTATTGGATTCTGCTGTTGCCGTTGATCAGGAAGGTCAGGTTCCACTCAGAATTGCTCACTGTGAAGATGATGGTGCACAAAAGATGCACAATATACTTAGAACTGTCAAATATGTCAAATACTGCCAAGCATGTCAAGACCTGTCAAGAAGTGTTTCTATCAATGAGAGCACTTTCCTCAATAGCAAGCCATCTGCAATGTCAAACATTAATTTGCTTTCTCCTGTGTGCGTGGGTATTTGTGGATACTGGGTGAGCTGGCAGGAGCTGGAGAAATAATACTGAGTGGATGTAAGCATTAAATTGGTGTAGTAGATGAGGGTGAATGGGGTAGGGGGAGGGTACTGGGTGACATGGATGGACCGTGGGCAGAGTGACGGGGTGAGTGATGGAGGACGGTTTCTGTTTTATTGCTTCGTTTAATTTTTGGTCACAGTGCTGAGATCCAAGGCTGGCTGTCTGCCCCAGGCCTCCTCGGGTAATGGCACCATCTCCTGGGTCATTTTTCCGATTTCTAATTGATCCCATTGCCTCCAGACTGACAGTGGAGAACATGGATAGCCAGAATTAAAGGGCAAAATTGTAGCATCGGAAATCTTTCCTGTACACTTGGCTTGGCAGTAAGAATCAAGGCATTGGATGTTACTTTCTACTGATGTTAATTGTACCTGTCACTGGGCTAGAGTTTAATATTCTGGATCGGTAGCTGTTTAAAGTCAACTTAGAAATCTGGTTCATTCAACAGACTCTTGGATGCTCGGGGAATTGTTTGCAATGAAGGCACCTTCATAAGTATGCAAGAAGAAATACAAATCTACAAGAATAAAAACATGCATTCAATTTGCAAGACCATTAGTTCCAAAATATCTGTGCTTTTAATGTGGTCTCCAAAAGTGCAAAACTGGAGTTAACAGTCTAGAATTCCTTTATGGGAGTGGTTAATTAAGTAGTCAGTTTCTTCCCATTAAAATTCCCTCGAATGTCATGAGAAATATTCCTGAAATGTACATTCTATTTCACTGTTTTGGTGAAAGGATGTTGATTGCTTGTATGATGCTGTTCTACAGATTTCTTGCTGCTTTTTATAGGCAAGAGGCTTCATCTTCATTGCTTGGAATTAGAGGTTTAGATTTCAACTGTAGATGTTGTTTGAGGTTTCGCTGTCCACTTAACAGCTAGCTATTTCAAAATTGTCGAAGGGAGCTGAGGTCAACACTGTTGGAGTCATGTGAAAAAAATCTGCTTTTTGGTCGGATGGTGGTGGGAATGGAGCCATTAAAATCTCCTTACAGCAGCAGGCTAACTTGTTATTTCCCACGGTGACAATCTGTCTGTGGCAGTTTTTAACACGATAGTTTAACATTCCAGCCCCTTCAGGAGGTACATGAGATATAGGTACAGTATTCCAGCTAACTTTTATTTCAGAAAACATTTCTGGAAAGTCACCACTAGGTCCAGTCCTGTGATTATAGAATAAAAACTGTGAAGGAGAAAAGCGTTAACGTTTCGGGTCCGGTGACCCTTCCTCAGAACACGTGATTGCAGAAGATGTGTGTAATGAAATAATGTTCAACAGCGCAATAGTCATCAAATATATATGTATTAAAAGTCTTTTAAAATCTATTTTTGATAGTGTACAGCAAAGCAGAAAAGCAACTGCACTAACACTGATTCCCAGAAGACTCCACTACAAATATTCTTCCACCTGTAAAATGTCAATGCATGACTACTCTCCGTTTCCTGTATTCAGTCACTTCAATGTTTATGTTGCTGCTGTCTCTTTTGTTTCAGGAGTTCTGACCTTTCTCCCAAGTCCATTGTGTGGCACAGTCTCAAATACATTGTGAAAGTTGGTGTGTACCACATTAACACACACTTCAACACAATCTATTAGCTCTTCAAAGCACTCCAGCAATTTGTTGAGCATGATTTTGCCTTCAGAAATTAATGCTAACCTTCCTTAATTATACGGCAATTGTCTATGTGGGTGTTAATAATGTCCCAAATTATTGTTTTGAGAAGTTTCTCAACCCAAGTGAACCTGATTGGTCTGTAGCTGCAAGGTTAATCTGGACTATTTTTTACAACCAGGGCATAACATTTTCAATTTTTCAGTCCTCCAGCATCATCCTGAAAGTAAAGAACATTGATTAAATTATGATCACAATTATGTGCAATTTCAGCTCCCACTTCCCTCAGTTGGGTTGCATCTCAACTGGTCAGTGCCTTATTAATTTAAAGGACAGACAACCTATCCAAAACCTCCTACTTGAAAATGATAAACCATACCAATTAAGAACAGTTTACAATCACTGTGGTTACTGTTAAACTTGCAGGTGGGATGACTGAATTAGTCCCTTTCCACACACGGAGCAGTTGAATGGTCGCCCCTCCAGAACTCTCAGGGGTATAGTGAGGTGAGATGAGTCCTTGAACCCAGTGCCTTGTGAGAGCACGTTAATGGTGCCACGTCACTGTGAATAGGCTGGTGCGTTATCAGGGTGGATGACTGAGTGAATGCCTTCCTGCACTCAGAGCAGATGAATGGCCTCTCCCCAGTGTGAATACATAATTGAGTTTCCAGATTCAATGGGAAACGAATTGCGTTTGTGTTTTGGCAGGTCAGATGGACAGCTGAATTTTCACCCACACACACACGTACGGTTTCTCCCGAGTGGGAACAGTGCTTTTTTTCCTTTGATATTCAAAATCTGATGATATTCTGTTTACATGAAATTGGGCAGCTCAGCTCTGTCAGATACTGATGTGATGTTTGATTTCAGTTTCCTAATTGCAAATCCACCTGTTCTCATACCCTGTGAAATGAAGGGAAAATGCAACATAAGGTAGTCAGAGAGAACCCTCAAAAATGTAACGGTAGGTTGTGAGGCTGAGCTGAATGAAGCAAGTAATTTGTGGGGCTGAAGCTGGGAAAAAATGACAATGAAAGCTGCTGGATTGTAATAAAACCCAACTAGTTCATAAATGTCCTTTCAGGAATGAATTGCCACATGGTCTGGATCTATACATTTGCAATTTCAGCTCCCACTTCCCTCAGTTGGGTTGCATCTCAACTGGTCAGTGCCTTATTAATTTAAAGGACAGACCTCGATGGAAGGACAGAGAGAAACTGATGGACGGGGGTGAAGAGGTAGGACATGCAGGGGATGAAGGAGAGGCAGTTTTTATTTTAACTACTCAACAAGATTTTTGATGACAATCTCCCAAACCCCAGTCTTTGCCAATGAGAAGTACCAGGTGAGCATCATTACCTCCCAGTTACACCGACTTGTCTGATATCCAGTTCTGGGTGAGCAGAAATTTCCTCCAATTAAATATTGGGAAGCTTAAAGCCATTATGTCCGTCTCCACTACAATCTCCACTCCCTCACCACCAACTTCATCCCTTCATCTCACTAATAACCATCTGAGGTTGAACCGGACTGTTCACAACCATGGGGAAATATTTCATCACCAAGACCACTTGTGTCCACCTCAGCAACATCACCCAACTCCACCCTAGTCTCAGCTCATCTGCTGCTGAAATGCTCACCTGTTCATTTGTTACCTCTAGACTTAACATTCCTCGCCAGCCACCCACATTCAACTCCCTTGTAAACTTGAGCTCATCCAACACGCCGCTGCTGGTCTGCAAACTCACACCAAGTCTTGTTCCCCCATCACCATTCTATAATTTGAATGGGATGGTCATAAATCTGGTGAAATTAAACACAAAGGTAGAAATGTGATAGATTTCCGAAATTGGAAATAAAGTATGTATACAAGAACAAAGGATAAGGTGTAGAGGAATCAAATTGTATATCGATGGAAATTTCTAGCTGACATCTTGCCTTATTACTTAGCAACTTTGAGAGACAGGATCGGCAACTGTCACACCTTACTGAGAAATAGAAGTTGAGCAGATTCTCCTTCCTCTCCTGTATCTTATTCTAATCCATCAATCAGAGTCCCGTATGTCCATAGTCACTTACATTGGGTCAGCTGCTGGATGGAACCTCGGGTGCCCTGAGCTTTATCTCTGGTGTTTCCAGTCCTGATACCCCCTTACATCAGTATCTCCTCACGTTTATACACTGCAGTAATCCAGCTCTGGCCCCTGATTCTTCTTTGTCTTCCTTGCTGGGTATTGGCAGGAAGTGAGGAAAAAACAGCTGGAATTTCTCTTAGAGATTGTAAGAACTGGCAATTCTCTTATCTGTGATGTACAAGGATACATTCCATGGTTCACAGCAGTTACTTTTCTTCAGTCATTTTCTCATCCTCCCTACACTGTCTTGTCGGCTGGTAATTGTATGATTTTTTGATAGTTTCACAATTATAGACATAAACATCACATATTAGAATATAACTATTTTCTCACTTTCTCTGATTGAAGTTAATATTGTAGTTAATAACAGAAAAGGCCTGAATTTGGAATGAAGTGATTCTGTGCAATGGAATGTATTGTCAGTGTTGCCATGGCAACCTGTCTGCAGGGCAGTGCCTGTTTGAGTTCGTAACTCAAACTAAACTTTTCTTTTCCATTATACACATTGTATCAGACATTTCACCTCAATGTCTTCCAGCCACATAACCAAAGGTCCAAATACACAAATCTTTCGCAAACAAAAACAGAAATTGCTGGAGAAACTCCAGTAGAGTGGATTCAACACCTTAACTCTGTTTTCTGTCCACAAATGCTGCTAGACCAGATTAGTTTCTCTAGCAATTTCTGTTTTTCTTTCAGATTTCCAACATTTGCATTTCCTTGTTCTACTTTTCACAAATCTTTCAGTTTGAAGGAGAAGGTTAAAATGCTGTTTGAGTCTATGAACCTAATTTACCAGCACCTTTCAGTTCCAAAGAAATTATACCAGACTCAAAATGTTAATCTGTTGCTATTTCCACAGATGCTATCAGACCCAACAGTCCAATTTTTTGTTTCAGATTTCCACTATCTGAAGCATTTTGCCTTTTTCTGACTGGAGGCTGTTTGATTCTGATAGGAGTTACCTCGATGATGGTGAAATAAACCTATCAGCATTTCCCATGGACACTGATCCTGAAGGACAAGGAATGTCTATATCTTATACTGTGACCTTGATCCAGTTTTGAACTCCAGGCCAACATCTCCCTCATGCTGCCTTCTGCTAATGAAAATATTGCCTATTTCCCTTGTCTCAATGCAGGTTAAACTGAAGTTGGAAAAGAGTTAGAGTCTCAAAACAAGATCTTCACGATAACTGTGGTCTCATCAAGGTCCTGTACAACTGCAACAAAACATCCCTTCTCCTGCACCCGAATCCTCTCACTTTGAGGCCAACATACCATTTGTCTTTTTCAATGTCTGTGGCACCTGCCTATGTACTTCACAGTATTACCCAGACTAGCTGGGCCTTTCTATGTTCATTTAAATGTGTAAAAGTGCAAACATCCCAATTTCAAACACATTCCACCCCGTTCATGTTGAGAATCCAGTGCTAAGAAATGGGAACATCCTGTCTTCAAACACATCATGCCCCACCCCTGTTCACATTGAGAATCTCTTACAAGAACTGGGAATATCCTGTCTCCAAAAACATCCACTGAATCACGGTTGACACAACAGGACAGTACACTGGCTGTGCAATGTTTTCTCATCAACTTGTAGTTCATTAAAGTACATTTGTTGAATGGATACTCAAAGGAGAAAATTGAAATGAAAAAGGCAAACTTGATAAGGTGCCATGTGAGAGATTTGTGTACGAACATTCATGCCCATTGATTTGAAGGGGCGCCAGCAACATAATTGAGTGAAAGGAAACAGGGTACTCATTAATGATTGTTTTTGGGCAGGAGGAATTAATCAAGGATTAATGCTAGAACCTATCTTTTTCCTGATACACATTACTCACCTGGGATATGATGTCTAGGGCCCAGTTTCAACACATGTGGTTAATGACGCAAGATAGATTGCTCTACAAAGAGCTGGCATGGACTTGAAGGGTGAAATGGCCTCTTTCATTGCTACAATGAATTTATGTCTCATTTGTGAACCATTCTCCATAATCTAACCCTGTCCAGATTTGAGGAATCATTCAGATAAATCTGCTCTGCATTCCCCTGCAACCAGTACAGTCTGTCCTTCCTCAGGTGTGGTGCCCATACTGAACACATAAACTAGGCTTTGTCGATCTATGATTTTGAACATCAATGCTTTTATGCTCAGACCCATACCTGAGCTATTTTTACAAAGACAGAACAGGCAAACCTTTTTTCTCTACAGTCAAAGGCCAATGACTTTCAGATGTACAAGCCTCCTAGCAATAGTCAGGATGTGGAGCAGAAAATGAATCAGGAGGTAGAAAAGGCATTCACGAAAGGGATAAGGAGAAAATAATAATAATAATAATAAAAATAAGGAGAACCACCAATTCGATTGGGACAACACCAATATACATGCATAGCAGAGACAAGCACGGGAGTTCCTAGAAGCCTGGTACTCCACGAAGAAAGCCATCAACAAACATATAGAATTCGACCCCATATACACTCCATTGCAAAGGAAAACTGGAAGTGAGGTAATCCAGCTCAATGGACTCCAGAATTTAAATAGCAGACAGGAAAACACAACGGCGCTTCATCGAAGGCTGCACTGATGATGTTACCCAGCAGGGTAATGAAACGTCTGTGGAACAATGAACCAGCTTGGCGAGCCAATCAACCACAAGAAAGACACTACTACAGTAATCATGGGGGACTTCAATATGCAAGTAGACTGGGAAAATTATGTTGGTAGTAAAAAGGCATTTGTGAATGTCTACGAGATTTTGTTTTGGAGCAGCTTGTTGTAGAGCCCACTAGGGAACAGGCAATTCAGGACTTGATGTATAATGCAGAAGACTTGATTAGGGAACTTAAGGTGGAGAAACCCCTGGGGGCAGTGACTATAATAGAATGGAATTCATCCTGCAGTTTGAGATGGGGAAGCTTGAATCAGATGTAACAGCTCTACAATTGAGCAAAGATAGGAAGGAAGAGCTGGTCAGAGTTGATTGGAAGAAGAACATGTGGTTGGTTGGCTTGCCAAGTGGGATCATTGTTGGTCCACAGACATTTCATTACCCTGCTGG